GCCTTTCCTTCAGGCATTAAGAATTTACTGTTTCAGATCACTGACTTGTATTGCAAAACACAGCAATAATCAATTCTTAGCTGTACATGCATCAGTTCTTAGCTGTACCCCTCAGAGCTCTACCTTTGAAATGCAAACATTACATAACAAATTAAACTCATGAGTGCACAGCCAACCTACAGCTCCTCTCTCCACCACAGTGCTTTGGCAAACGTTTCATTAACACTAAGTACCAAGCTTGCTTTATGTCAGCTGTTTAGGAATACATGCTTAGTTTCAGCATTTTTCAAAAGGCTATTTTAAACATATTCACTGCTAGTTCGTGTTGAATTAGGGAGGCTGCAGTGGCTGCACCTCTACTAATCCATAAACTGAGTATCCCACTGTTCCACTTTAGAATTCTATTTTTTTCCAGTCATTGTAAGTTATATTAAACATCTGGGTCATTAGCAAATAGAGTTCTAAGGAATCTGAATGCACAGCAGCCTTGCTGCTGCCTAGAAAACACTGTCACGTGGGACTGCTCTTTGTATCCTTGATACTGTCTAGGCAAATATTCTATTGTTTCTTTCAATAATTATTTCCAGGAAAAGCAAAGAAGAAGTATGGCCTTATAACAATGGCAGTATCACTTGATAACACTCTTTTGTTTCCATCTTTCAGTGCCAAAGTCTCTTTTTCTCATGGCTGCAGACTCATATTACCAAGAAGGTATGAGCTATTCTGTCATTGTGCACACTGACAGGAATTTTGTTTTCTTTAATTTCTGAGTGCAACTCTGAGCTGCAACACTACAGCCAGGAGTAGTGAATTCACTACTGAAATTCACCCAGACTCCTCAGAAAGACTCTGGATTGTCAGGCAGTGAAATCACAGTCCTGAAATTACAGGAAAAGCTCCTTCTGGTGTAGTTACAGCAGAAGGGCTGTTTGGAGTATGACAACCTGAGCTCCTGGGAGACATTTGACAGCAAGTCAAAAGGAAGCACCAAGGAGTGCTATTAAACTCAGCCACAGCTACAATCCACTGCTGGGGAAGCACTTGAGGTTGATGCCTTTAACTTCAGCCCTGAATGGGGCTGATTATTGAAATTAGCAACAAACATTCCCTATAACAGTTTCTTTTGGCCAAAAATTTTCACCTGTTCATGAGAAATATGTGAACTGATTTTTAGCTATTTCTGTTCTACACCACTAGTAAACCATTGGCTTTTAGTGAATTACTGTCCACTCATGTGAATAATTGATATTGGCCCATACATTTTCTTAGCTGCTGAAGTTCCCTTTCAATTGTGACACTGCTTCAAGCTGATGAGCAGATCTCACCACGACAAAGATGACTGTGTGAGCACCTGCATGGTCTGCACCTCCAAAAGGTGTTTACCTGCCTCAGAAAGAAGTTGTCAACACGCTCAGCTTACTTCACTTGTTGCTTAAAACTGAGAGTGGAGTTTAAGTAGAATCTGGCATAATGAAACATCAACTGGCACTACCCTGAAATACACATTCACACAATCCGCTGCCAGAACTGGGGCTTGCTGAACGTGTCACTCACGGTGCTCCCAGACACTTGGCTGTACTGCAACTCTTTTCCCAGTGAAAGGGAACCAGATGGTGAGCGACTCTTGGCATTTCTCAGTGTTATGTGAAGTGTTTCTTTAGCTAGTGAGCACATGCCATCCAGTCAAGTCGCTTTGGAAACAGCCCTTGGTGTCTTTCTTCAGATTTCTACACAAACGGCAAACACCCCATTCATGAGGAAAGTCAGACCCAAGCGTGGAACCCAAAGTCTCAGCTAGGAGTCTCTGTTGTCCTGGAGACAAAGAAGCATCTCTGAGGAAATTATTTCATCCTTTGGTCCTGCTACAGCCTCTGAGTGTTCAATTGCTCATCAGTGGCCATGGAGAAAGATTGATGGAGACAGCTCAGTTAAATGCCCACAGTCAGATGGGATGAGCAGAGGCCAGAATGCCCAACTGCCTAAAAGTACAGAGTTCCACAACTGTTTGTATATGCAAGCAGTGCTTGACAGCCAGTCAGGTCTGCTCTAAACTCAGGAATTTAGAGAGTTGGTTCTGTTCCTGGCTCTGCCAAATCAACACAACCAAATCCTTTTTTCCTCTAGTTGAACCACACGCTTTGCAGGGCAAAGCAAAAGCTTGCAAGCAAACTTGCTAGAAGTTATTAGAAGCAGAGGTTTCAAAAACCCATTAAAATAAAAGAGAAAAAACGTTAACCAGAAACATTACAGTTTATTATTTGACTGTGCAGGTAAGGAGTGCTTTGCTTGAAGGGAAAGCTGCTGCCTTGCTGCAACAATTTTGCCTTGGGGCAATTTTCAGAGAGTTGTTATCTTTCAGGAATAATAAAATTCAGCATGTTGACTACACACCATACACAAGAAAGAAAAAAAAAAAAAACAGAAAGAGGAATAAAAAACCCAGAAAAGGCTAAATGCCCTACAAACCCTACTGAAGTTAGTTGAACACTCCAAACTTTGGATGGTGGTGGCTGTGAGGAAGTAGAGAAGAGATGGAAATCTGTATGCCCTTCATAGGTACTCTCTCATTTCATAGACATGACCCCAGGCTACTGTTGGCAAGTATCAGAATTACTCAGTGCTACAAAACAGGACCCTTCCTGTGGCCAGATGAACTCTATAAACAGAATAATATTCTGTTTATATTTCATTGCACATGAGGGCAAATCAATCTTTCACTGATGCTCATGGAAAGATTTCTTTTGAATGTAAGGGGAGCCCAGATGGATGAGGCCCAAGAAGTTTAGCATAATCCAAAATATAACTAACTGTCATTGACAGTAAATATGTTCTAATGTGTTAAAGGGAACTGCTTCCTAATAGTGTCTCCTCAGTTTAATTTCATGAGATGCATTTCCACACAGAACTTGGTATGTTCCTGCACATGCAAGGTAGGAAGTACTGTGTTTCTTGGGAGAGTAGATTCTCACCATCTCAAAATATCAACCGTGATTCATCACACAAAAAAGTTCACTTTTAACAAGCCTTTAAACTAGAGTAGTTCACCAACAGTGGTTGCCCTGGAGGAAATTTGCACTTGGAAAATTGATTCTGTATTTCACTAGCAAACCTCTTTGGGTGATTTACAAATCCCATTTGTAAAATCCCTCAGCTGCTCCTTTGAAGTCAAGGGACTTCCAACACCAACCATACCAGGCACGGGGAACTAAACCAGAACAAGTTATATTACAACACTGATAGATAAAGAAGTATGATATATAGATAAGACTTCTCTGTCCCAGTTTTACAAATATCTTATCAAACACTGCCAGTTACAACTGAACAAAATACAAAGCAAGCATTTCTCAGCACTGGCACTCTCTCCCGTGCCTGCCCAGCAAGGCAGCCCATCCTCAAACTATCACTGACAACTGGTACTTTTCCAGCCCTGTCTTTACTGGGATTTCCAGTTTTCTCTTTCTCTCTATTTAAATAGTTTTCTACTAATATACTCCAATTCACTCTAAGCTGATGAGAGTATCACCTGAACCCTCTGTCACATCTTAGAGAACACTCACTCCACTCTCACAACCTGAAAGATTTCTAAAACCAAAAATGATTGTTATGACCATCAGTGTCATCCTGCTGCAGAGCAGCCAGTGGAATTTTGTCAGTCTTCCTCAGTGCTGCACAAGAAAGCCACTGAATCTGACTCCAAATAAACACAGTAGTGCAAAAAGCAATTTGGATGCAGTTTATCTGCAATAAGGATTTAAAAATACTTCTATTAGTTTATATAAAATTATACAAGAGAGAAATAAACCCGAAATCAATAACACTTGTTACAATTTCTAATTTTTCCTTATTTTGCTCATTAAAACCACAAACTGCAGCTTCTCATTAAGAAAATGTTTAAGACCTGTGACTATCTGTAAGTGATAAGCCTTCTGTCTCCTGATTTCCTGATTTAATTCACGAGCTGTGTTTCACTACGAGTGGCAAGCTAGAAATAAGAATTTGCTCCAACAATTACTTGAATTCACTCTGGCTTTGCTTCCTCTTTGGCATCCCTCTATAAAACACTGTTTTATTAGCTCCACACGTTAATTTGTTTTATTGTACTCTAAAAGGTTGTTTGACACCGGTTTTCTGAACCTCATCATAGGCCCAACTTCACTCCTCCTCCGGGGCACCCAAAGTTGCTGGGGCACATCGTGAAGCATTGAACAGTAAAGTGTAACATCCCAAGAGCTCTCCTAGGAAAGCGTTTCTCGCTGGTTCATTTCGCTGGAGCTGCAGCCCGTGATTGAATCAGGGGAACCGTTTCCAGCCAGCGCACGGCGTTGCCCTCATTGCCTCTGGCCCGAATCCCACTCCCGTCTCCACTGATGTCACGATTTACAGCGGTCCCGCTGACGCAACGCTCTGCCGAGACCGGTGGCGCGACTCCAGATTTACGCTGTGTCACCGAAGGGCTGGAGGGAGGCACGGATGAGCGGAGCCCTCGCTCCCAAGCCATCTCCGGGCGGTTTCGGGGCTCCTGGACAGGTGCTTCCCTGACTATCCAGACACTGCCGGCACCGCACCGCCTCCGCTCCCAGTGCCCCACCGAGCTCAGCTCAGCCAGGACGGACAAAAAGCGGAATAAAAACAGCCCTCGAAAGGAACCGTGACCGGTCCCTGTACCCCAGGGGTCTAGGCTGCCCCGAGGGATGGGGGATGCTCCGGGACCCCCGGGGAAAGAGGGAGCGGGGCTGTCTTTGGGGAGGGCTCCACGGGAAAGGCGGCTGATGGCCCTGAGGGCAGGGGGCTCCAGGCCGCCAAGGGCAGGGCTCCGGCACCCACCGAGGAACGGAGGGAGCCCGAGGCACCCCGAAAGGAGCGGCACGGGCCGCCCTGAGGCACGAAGCCGGGGCTCCCGAAGGGACGGGAGCCGCGGTGAGGAGAGGTGCGTGACGGGCGGGGTCTGGCCACACACAGCAGGTGAAAGTTGCGCGGGGGCCGGGAGTCGCCGCACTCACCTCATCCCCCTGGCCGAACTGCAGCCCCAGGGCGACGAAGTGCTCCACTCGGATGAACCCGTCCGCATCCTCATCGCACACATCGAAAACCTCCTTGAGCTTCCGCAGGAACCGCAGCAGGCTGGCCGGCTCCATCGCGGGCATTAGCTGGAGGCCGGCGGCACGGCCGCGGCCGCAGCAGCCATGATCGCCCGCGCCTTCAGCGGGTGCGTGACATCAGCTCCGGGGAGCGGGGCGGGAGCGACGGCGAGAAGGAGGAGGAAGGGATGGAGGGAGGGATGGAGGAGAGCGGAGGGAGGACGCGAGCCCCGGCGGAGGGAGGGAGCGACGGGCGGGAGAACAATAGGGCAGAGCTGGAGGATGGCGCTGAGGGAGGCGCGGCCGCCGCCAGGGGGCGCCGCGGGCAGCAGGGAGGCCCCGGCGGGGCCGGGCGGGACGGGGACACAGAGACCGGGGGGGACAGAGACCGGGGACAGCGGGAGCGGGGGTTCAGAGACCAGGGGGTGACAGCGGGACCGGGGACATGGAGAGCGGGGACAGCGGACCAGGGGGACAGCGGCGGTGGCAGGGAAGCCGCCCGGGGAGCGGGGCAGGGTGGGCAGGAGGGCAGCAGCCCGGGACGCAGCTGGCCGGGCATCCCCCGGGCTCTGCGGCAGCGCACGGGCCCGTTTGCAGCCCCTTCACCGCTCTGTACCTCAGTCCGATACCCCAATAAAACACCAGTCACGCTGCAATATTTTTTCTTAGAAGAAACCTGGTCTGAATAGTTCCAGGGTAGAGGGGGAAAGCCGAGTGTAGAGAGTTAAGGGGCAATCGAGGCAAAGCAGGACAAGCGCAGCTCCCCGCGCTGCGGTGCGCTCAGGCAGAGCCGTGGGAAGGATCCCCGCCTGGCTGGGCACTGACTCTGCCCGGGCCCGCTTTAATCACACAGAGCGGGTCGCAAAGGGGGTCCCTGCCTTTGCAGGGTTCCTCGTTAAAGCCACGCTAACGTTCCTTTAACGGGAAACACGCCCGCAACTGCCGTGCTCCATGGCTGGGTTTTAATGTGATCTCTCTGCTCTGCCCCTTTTCTTTCTTTCAAGAGTGTTTTGGACTGCCTTTGAAGCCCGCAGCTGTGAGCTGACAGAGGGGAGACGGGATGGTTCTGGGTTCTGCACTCACACCAGGCATGATGACTCCAGCCCTTGGGGAGGAAGGAGCTCTGGCTGAGTCAGGCTCAGGTACTCACTGCCTCTGCCAGCACTCCTTTCCTGCTGTAGATGCTACGTGCAGGTGACATCAATCACTGAGTGACGTCCTGTAGGTGATTGATAAAGCTGTCCAACTAAAATGACCATGTAAGTACAGCAGGTTTTGAATCGAGACAGTATCCATTCATTTGCTTCTTGCAGTAGGAGAGGTCCATATGGCCCTTAACAACCCTGAAAATTCCATGATTAGAGCAATCTGCTCAAATTTATCTCTTTTGTAGAAACCAGTGTGTTCTCAGGAAGTTTTATTTCTTTGAGCACGAGTCTCTCATCACTTTTATGTGCAAATTCAGGGTTTGGAAAGAGGCTGGCTTGACAGCCCTGTAGCCTGCAAGTCCGTTGTCAATCAACAACGCACTGACAGCAATACAATTCCCCACATATCCACCTCAGAGAGATAAGGAACCTCTTTCCAGAGCCTCTGCCACTTTGATCTTCCTTTATTTTTTACCAAAAAAAAAATCACAGAAGAGTTCTCCTTTCCCCCAGTGATGTACTAAACGGTCTTTCCAGTCTGGGAGAAAAAAAAAATCAAAGTGCAGAGATCAGATATGAACCTTGGGGAGCAACGAATTTCTGAAGAGGTATGAGGAGATGTGAAAGGAAAAAGGGAAGCAGAATATTTGATCAGCAATCTTCTCTGAAGCTTTCTAGTTAGAGCAGGATTCTTGAGATGTGGGGATGTTTAGCTTTTATCTTGAGACCCTTGAACTCTTCAGTTTATATGGGGACTGAGCTCAGCACACCCCTTGGGGACACCTATTCAGAAATATGTGAGGTGGTAGCCCTTGGAGTTGTGGGAAGACACCTGTGTGGAATCAGCTCCTGTTAGTCTAAGTGCTCTGAAGTCAGTTCAACCTCTTCAAAGGCTCAGAGCACATCTGTGTCACTGTCCCACCTCGCTTGCTGAGGTTATCTCAGTGACTCCTTGCTCTGACTCCCCCCTCTGTGTGCAGGTGGGCAACTGTGCAGGCCCACACTGGGAAGTGGAGTCACAATAAACATGGTGGTAGGAAAAAAATTTAAAAAATAATATTCCTGTTTGTCATGACCAGAGGAAGAGTTCTCACACCTCAGAGGGGTTGTGCTCAGTTTCATGAAATCCAGTTAATTTCCACTGACTCTCCTTTATCTTCTGCTGGAAGATGAAGGAACTTGGTCTAGTTATGCAAGTAAGGGGCAACATGGATTTAGATCAAAAACTGTCATCATTAAAATCTGTGTCAATCTTGCACTAATTTGGAAGGGGTGGATGCAGAAGAAGATTTGGGTTTAGACACTGTGGCTTGAGGAATTAGTGCTGAAGTCCAAAAACTGCCACAGACAGCCTGAGTGCCAGCAAGCACTGGAATGAAGCTGGTAAGAGAGGTGGAAAGGTTGTAGAAGCTGTCATTACAGACAGCTGAATATGTGGAGCAAATACCTGGCAGCTGGGAGATGATTTGATAGCACTGAACACGGGAGAATTGGGATGAGAGATGCTGTCAGTAAGGGTCTGTGATCTTAAAGCTGGGGGTGTCTTAAGGGAGCTAAAATCAGAACAATGAACCAAAAACTTGCCACCCACTTGCTGGGCAGCTGCTCTGCCAAGGTGAAATTTTTAGGGCTGAATCCAGGAGGATGTTTTTTATTTCCAGGTGTGTAGCTGGCATTACTCCTTGCTCATCCCTGCTTCTCCAGTTTGAGGTAGGACATGCACCAGTGGGCTATTTTTCCTTACTGATATATCTAACTACCTGTTTAATCAGAGATAATTGGCAACTTCTCCATTTGACTCATGAACTATGCGAAATAAGTATTTTACATACTGCCACTCTAGTTTCCTTCTAGAATTTGAAATATGACTAGTGGTAGTGCTACCATATTTGCATGCTAAGAATAAATAGTTCAAGAGGAAATATTTCATTGCATACCACACACCATGGCTGTCATTTGCAGGCTTTCTGTACAATCAGCTGCTTTTCCATCAATGTCAGTTCCACTCAGAGAGCAAATTGTAATCTGGTGTCAGAAACACTGTCTAAGGAGGGCACTCCCCAGGGCTGATGGCCCTATCTACAATTCTGGTTGTGTTCCAGTCACATCCAGAGTGACTGAGTAGTAGAACAGCTTCACAGTACAATTTCTCTTTACAGTACACACAATATAGCCCTCCTTGAATATTTGGCTTCTCATAGTTTTACTGTATTTTGAATCAAATCCTGTTTCCCATTGACTGCACTGGTTAACCACATATAATAGATGTACTTTATCAACTGGACATTCTCTTTTAATGTCACAAACAACAGGTAACAGGCAGAAATAATCAGCTTACTAGCTTAATTAAGTTTGGAACAGAAGCAAGATACTTGATTTTTTTTACTGCCTTTCCTCTAATCTATTTTTTCTATTATAAAAAGTTAAACAGCAAGAACAAAACTTAAAAATTTTGGAGAAATGTTTCTACAAGCAAGGATCTTCCTTTGAAATTTTCTTAATGCTCTAGGACCTCACCTTGTAAAAGTTTTACTGGATTAATTTTACACAGTATGAATTCTCTTGCTTGATTTCGACAGCATTCTTACCAATTATGAATTAGGCATGAGCAAAACTCTGTGAGATGAGCCCAGCTAGAGAGCAACTGCACTCGATTCAAACACATTAATGCCTTATTTGTTTCTTACAGCACACATACTGCACAAAGACCAAACTACCCGTTCTCCCGAAGTTAGGGCTAAAATAAACAATCCTCTGTCGAGGTTCCCATAAAGCCGATTCCACTGGGAATTCATAGGGTCAAACGAATATTCCCTGGTGTTCCCAGGGACAGCACCAGGGCTGCAGGTGCCAATGCCAGTGTTCCCCTGGCATTCCGAGGTCTCCTTACTCCACCGAGTGGCCGGTCACTCCACTGCACGTCTGTCACCAGCCCAAGGCATCCCCCTGCCGAGGTGGCAAGAAGAATAAAATGTAAAACCGAGGTGAATGGACAAGATTTGCTCCTCTTCCACATGCCACAGTCCTCCAGATGCCCTGGAGCCAAACCTCTCGGTACCTTCCAGAAACCTCTCTGCTGCCTCAGGGAAAGGACAGCACCTGCCCACTTTTCTCTGACCAGCTCCAAATAATTGGGCAGGCTTGCATTTCCCTCAGATTATAACATACAATTGCATCTGGCAACCTCTTGAAAGCAATAAAATGTTTAAAGCTCCAGGAAAACTGAAAAGCAGACCCAGTGTAGTAGCAGCAGACAAGGTATTTTCAACTTCTGCCCCAAAAGAGGGCTGTCAAGTGACACAGACATTCCTCTCTGGCTCTAACAAGAAAACGACATTAATCACGTTAATAGAACTAAGCCCCAGATTCCCAAAGACTTTTTTCCCCTCCTTTCCTTCCCTCAATTTGTTAAAAAATGAATGAATCATCTAGAAAATCATCTAGCAGCTGTAACAGACTGAGGATGCACCAGCCAGTCTATTTTTTTAGCCTAACTCACCCATAACACAACATATGAACACTTGAAAGTCATCTTTTACTGCTTTAAATTAAGTTTCTATAATTTTGTTTATTTTGTCCTATCCAACATCTGAATACATATGTTCCATCTGCAGTTTTAGTAGAGCTGACTACAGGAATTTTATTCCCAGTTATTGCTGTATTCAGCAAACAGAAATGGGAGAGAATAATAAAATTAGAACATGGTATACCATACTGATATTACTGTCAGTTGTCACTTGTGTTGTCTCCAAACAGATTGAGGGAGATGAGTCCAAGCTGGCTGATAATGGGAGATAAAGAACAGAACAAAACGATTTACACAGGAGAATGTAGGTGCAGCACCATTATTGCTGTGACCATCCACAGGCCAAGTGGGGCTAATGCTGATGAGCAGAGTCTGGTTCAAAGACACTCTGCACCCAGCTCATAGAGAAATAGCCCTAAAAAAGACACTTCAGGACCAGAGAAGCAACAGGAAAGCAGCTTAACCAGGCTGATTCTAGCACCTTTATACCATTACAGATGAACTTTATACCTTTATAGCTGCCTTCAAAAATGACAGGGGGCATTGTCAAGTCTAGGCACTACAGCTTGCAGATGGAGTTATTCCAGCTGTCTCTTAGAGGATTCACAGCATTTAAAAACTGACACAGCCCTATTCAGAACAGTATCTACCTATACATGTTGGTGTTGAAACTGGAGGATAAACTAGGGGAGAAGAGAAATGAGCTCTTGGATTTGAACCAGCTTCAGTAAAAGTGTGATGTTTGCCTCTCTGCTGTACAGTCACTCTGGCCTTGTTTTTTTCAAGTCCCCTGTGAATCTGTACTTGTGTTTGCCTACATGACATCCAAGAGAAATTTGGAAGTCCTACATCCTAAACCTTCCTTAGCACAAGTGTTATTTGCATCCAGAATTGTGCAATAATGAGATGGAAATACTGAACAGCAGAGCTGACACATTAGCTGGAATCTATGTTTTTGGTCTCCTGAGACACAGTGCTGTGCCCTTATAGTGCCTTATTTTCCAGCTTCAAGTAAGTTAGGAGGAGGGAATAAAAAAGGCATGTCCTGAAGATTACCACTTTAGGAGCATTTCAGACCAGTACTGGAAGTTCTAAAGTCCCCTATGGGTGGGACATGGCTTAGCAGTATTCCCAACTGGTTTAGACCATTGCTGTAGTTAATTCAAAAATCAATTATGCTAGTGCTTGCCACTGAATTACTTAAACACAATGAAGAGTAATGGCCAATATATGAAATATGTAAGGATGCTCTGCTTTCCTTGGTAATGTTTGAGGTGACTGGCTGAAAACGGCTGCATTAGGCTGTTCATGCTAACACACCCCTTCTCCTGCCAACACAGTTCTCTCCTACCTCAAACACCCACCACAAAGGAAAAATCCTCTCCAAGCAATGACCAAATGGTTCATTGTTCCTCCACAAGACCTGTAACTACTCCTTAACTATCAAGTCTATCATACAGCAAACGCTAAAAGCAGGTTCAGAGAAACTTTGTGAGGGCGAACTCTGTTCTATTGAAGTTCTTACTGTTTCTGCATCAGTTTGTGGGCCAGATAAATTGCTACTCGATTCCTGAATCCCTTCTGGAAAATTATTAATATATCTCAGAGTTCAGAAGTGACACATAAAAATTGTGCTGCCATACATAAGAATATTTACAGGATAATAGACACAACATGACAATAAAGAAGTGCTCCAAGATTTCCATCTTGATTCAGTACACAGACATTCTTCTTTTGCTGTGGCTTTGAAAGAAACTTCTAGGTTTCTTTCTCTGGCTTGGAGAAGGTAGATTGTTATAGAAAGCCAAAACTGTTCATGCTGAAGCAGCATGCTGAATTACTGATTGTTAACAGAGATCTGTTTCTGTGAAAATTAACTTAAACTGATGGTGAGCAAAATAAGTCAGTGTCTGTCAGGCTACCTATGCAATCAGAGCCTGCAGCTGCAGAGGATGAAATACAAACACTGGGCTGTTTTCTTCTGACTGATCCAGCATCTGTAAAATATCTTATTAATATTTAGCATGAATCACTCTAATGGGTTTGCCAAGTGACTGCCCTCATCTGGAAAAGGCACAGTGCATGAAATCAAAGTGCACAAATGATGTCACTGCCAATCAGATACACAGCAGGACTTGAACTCCTTTCAAAGCAACTGATTTCTTAGAGCATCTGCTGGACAGGTGACCTACCTTTGTGATGATCCAGAGCTGTGACACACCCGTGACAAAGCCTTTACTGGAGTAAAACGAATCTTCCTTGATGCTAATGGATTGCTGCTTTGTTGTTTGCATTTAAATGAACCCTAGTTAACAGCCTGACTCAATAAGCAAGTGTTTTTATTCTAGCACATTTAGATTTGGCATAGCCCCTATAACCAACAAATCGTTACCACCAGCCTTATTGACACTATCTTTTTTCCTCACAAGCTGTCTCTGCCAACAGAAAAACCTGCTGAAGCTAAAACAAAGCAGAAAAAGGAACAGATGCCTCAAGCCTGTGACTGAGCACCAGCACAGGGCAATTGAATCAATGTCCCATTTGATAAAGAGAGGTGAGAACAGCACTAAATGCTGCTTTCTGAAGAGACCACCTTCTCAACTATTTTCCTCTCTCAGGCCCTATAGTATTAATTTAGGATTAATGCAGAATGCTGTACATAACAGGACTGAGGAGCAGCCAACTCAAACTGCTGTCATGGTCTAACCCCAGCCAGCAAACAAACACCACAGAGCTGCCCACTTACTTCCCCCCACGACAGATGGGGGAAAGACTGAAAGGTAAAAGTGAGAAAACTCTTGTGTTGAAATAAGGAGAGTTTAATAGGCAACAAGCAAATCAAAAGAAGGAGCTCATTCACCACTTCCCATGGGCAGGCAGGAGTGCAGCTGTCTCCAAGGAGCAGAGCTCCATCACATGCAGCAGTTACTTGGGAAGACAAACAGCATCACCCCCAGTGTCCCCCATTCCTTCTTCTCCCCCAGCTGAGCATGACACCACCAGGCCTGGGACGTCCCTTGGGTCAGTCAGGGCCAGCTGTCCTGGCTGTGTCCCCTCCAACTCCTTGTGCTCCCAAAAGGCCCCTCACTGGCGGGGTCTGGTGAGGGCAGAAAAGGCCTTGTGAGAACTGCTCAGCCACAACTAGAACACAACTGTGTTATCAACAATCTCCAGCACAAATCCAAAACATAGCCCATATTATCTACTAGAAAGAAAATTAACTCCATCCCAGCCCAAACCACACATTACCCAGGCAAAAACATACTGATTTGCTAGGAAAATTATTTAAAAATATTAAAAGAATGCAGATATGCAAATTTATACACTGGTAGCAACCTCCTTCTGTTCACCTAAAAGCCAAAACAGAAAATAATGTCGTTTTCAAGCAGTGAAATCAATGTGATGCTGAAGAGAGATAGATTAGACCTATTTATTGAAAAAAGTATTTCAAAAAACAAATCTGGATCTGCATTGCTGAAGTTCTCAAGAGGAAAGCAATTATTAGGTACCAATAGTGCAGCTGCTGGCTGATTGCATGTATGCTCACACAGCCTTTTTCCTGTCCTAGAGTTACTTTATGATGCTGAATTGTATCCCCATTTGTCTATTCGGCCCAGAAATAAGCTTTGCACCTTTAAAACTAGATCTGAGAGTGAAGTGGGGGGAGAAGGAGAAGCAGTGAAATGTCTGAGGCAGTTGTTTTCAAAACAGAGACAGAGTGCTTCAGCATTTTTTCTCCTGGACTGTGTTGTCTGCAGCACGGACAGACAGCAGGAGAGAGCTCTCCTTTGCTTTTTAGTTAATTTTTTTAGCTAGCTGAGGCAGTGAAGTCCCCTGGACTGTGTGCTACTTTTTTTTTTTTTTTCTTGGAACTGTTCAAACCTGCTCTGGACTGAAAATCCAGAAAACACTGGGACTCACACCTGTGGCCCACCTGGGCCTGGGACAGCCTTTTCCAGCCTCAGAGGGACTGATAACAGACTGAGCAAGCCAAGCTACACCCCACAACAAGGACTTCCTGAATTTGCCATCTCTTCAGAACAGAGAGAGGTGTTATTGCTTAATAGTATTTTGTTATGCTTGTGAATACTTTGCTTGTTAAAGAAACAGTTTTTTCCCCACTTTTCTCCAAGGAAATTTTTCCCAAACCAGTAGAGGGAAGGGCTTGAATCTCCTTTCTAGAGGGACCCCTTTTGGAGTTTCCTCAGCAATTTGCCCTAACCAGAACAGTGCCTCAGTTCTTGCTAAGACAATGCTATCAGGTATTTCATGACAGTTTCAGTGGCTGGAGTAAGTGAGAGGTTGTTATTTATTTAGGATTCTGAGAGCTGGAAGGAGCTGTTGTGCCTCCTATCAGACACCAATAAAAAACAACTACTTCATGCTCCATAGCAAAAGTCAAATGATGTCTGACCAAGTCTCTTCTTGACTATGTATTATAAAAAGAGAAATGTTTCAAAATAATAGGTCTCTGCAAGACTTCTCTCCAAAAGACATGGATTAAGATTTTGTGTATCCTTCTTTTTAACAGCCCTATAGTATTTCAGAATTATGCTGTTATTGCTTAAATAACGCTCCTTTCTTTCTGGCTAAACCCAGAAGGTTTTAAGAAGCTTCTGTCTGTTGGGACTCTTTGGTACAAGAGGGTATTAACAGGCCTTCTGCTTCAGGATACAGAATAGCAGGAATTCCTGCTGGATGTGCTTTAGGTGTTAAAGGCAAAGTTTGAGCAGTAGGCATTAAGAAGAATGGAAACAAGAAACAGATGCTCAGATGAAAAGGGACAAATCCTCCTCTGTGGGATGTTTTTCTCTCTCCAGAGCACAGGAAGTCTGAAGAATCTTGGATCCTAATTCAGGCACCTCAGCAAGATGAGATGGACTGTGATTCCTCTAGGGCAGGTCCTCTGTCTTCATCTTGAATCCAGCCAGGTGACTCAAGCCTGAGGACAAAGGAAGGAACATTCCACAGCCTCATGAAGCAGATCAACTCTCCCAGAGGAACACAGAGCAAATGAAGTCAAATCAGTTTTACTCTTGGTGTGCAAACAGATAAAGGAGCATTCAGGGAAGGGCAAGAGCACAAAATCCTTCCAAGGCAAAGGTTCAAGGCTTGTTCTTTATGACAGGGGACTTCCCTCTGGAAGAGTCATTTATGAACAGTGTTAAGGCAGCAAATCACAGCTTAAAAAATCCAAAAGCAATAACTCATTCAAGGAAAAAAACACCTTTCCACAAGCACTTGTGCACAGTAGCAGCAAGATGAGGGAGGCTGTGTGCCCAAACAGCCACTGTGCCTCCTTTGGCTTAGGATCCAGATTCACACTCCTCCAGAGCCCTGCTGCTGGACAGGAAGTCAGACCAGATGTCCTCCCTTCCCTAGTGCTGCTGCTGAGTCACCATCCTGAGCATTTTGAGTGCCATCTCTCCTTGGTCAGCTGGTACCTAGCATGGAGAAAAGCACAGGATAAGCAGCTGCTATAAGGAAGCAGACAGCAGCCACACACACATCTTCAGTCTTGTTGTATTCCACCCCAAGAACTTCATTATTTACCATGTGCCCAGCCTTGAGAATCCAGAAGAAAGCAAAGTTCTTATAGGCCTTGTGGAAAGCAGCTGTCTCAGTAGATTCTGGAGACACATACAGTGCCTTCCACCTTTTCTGGCTGAACTGCTCCAAATCAGGCCACTTCAGTTTCCGGATCCATGCCTCCTGGCCTGTTGGAAATAAGAGATAGCATTGACTACCAATACTTGGAAATTACCAATACTTGGTTCCACAGCAGCCTGGGAGTCCAGTTCAGCTGGACACCCCCTGAACCAGATACCAGTACAGCAGAGTTAGCACAGAGTCTGTGTGTTCAGCTCCTAAAACCAATTTTCTTAGGCCTAGGAAAATTCAGGACAAACTGAAACAAACCAATGGAGGGGAGAAGGGAATAAGTAAACAGTGAAGGTGTGTATGAAATGGATTTAGGATTGCACAAGTTGAACATGTGCTGCTTGGAGGCTCTGCAGCCCTAGAAATTCCAACATATTTCACTTTGCACCTCAAACACCTTGAATGTCCTGCAATGGAGAAGGATCAGCCATACCAAGTCTCCCTCCTGGAAATCAGAAGAGCTACTGTTTCTCTCTTTGCTGGACACTCATTGAGAAGAGGCTGAAAAGGCTTTCTGTTTCCAGGTGCTGCTAGAGAAGGTGGAGGTCAAGACAGCAACAAGATCAATTCTAAGACTCGAAGGAGGACAAAACTTTAGCCTACCTGGGAACTGCTGGAAGAATTTACATGTTAACTACAGCTCAATTTTAGAAGAAAATGTGATAAACTGGAGCATCACTAATTGCCAATCTGTTTTGACAGCCTAAATACCATGCTTCTTGGATTTATTGATTGCTGTGTTGTTCATGAAGGGCATCTGAATATCTAAGTGGACAGAGACATAGAAGGAATAAAGCCTTTCACAACATAGAAAGGTGTTTGTGGAGTCTGTGACTGCTGATTCTTTAACTCTGTGAGAAAAGACGAGCAGAAGGGCACACAGCACCCTTGTTAGGCATTTCAGCAGCACTTGGCCTGGCTCCCAAACTACCCCTGCACCAAACCAGCATCTTCCAAGCAGCAAACAAAGCCCAAGGTGTGCAGGAGGCTACAATGAGAGCAGGTGTGATCACTCTTCCACTGCACCCTCCCTCATTAATTACCAGCATTCTTTGCCTATGAATGAGCATACACACATACACATCTATGTGCCTATCCAGGAGGATTAAGTGAATTACTGGCTTCACTGAAACAAGCAATTACTGATGTTGCAGATCCATTTCTCAACAGTATAATGCAGGTAAAGGATTTGCCTCTGTCAGAGGGATATAAGCAAAACATCCTAAGTGCTGCTTATTTATGACTGTAGTATTTAAGCACTGCTAGTTAGGTAAGAGGTTTGCACAGGAGATTGGAGAAATCTGGGTAGCAATATACTGACAGCTCCACATTCTATTCATCACATGTTCTGTTTCCACCCCCAGTGAAGAAGTTCCTCACCCATGGTGTCAACAATGAGGTCCAGCTGCCCATTATAGACTGTAACACTGATATTGGCTGCCAAAAGCTGATCAACGATATCGATGACAGGTTTCATGAAGTCCTCAGCCATGTTCTCAAAGACCTGTCTGGACTGACCTGGTTGGAACCAAAAAGACAAATTTTAAGTCATGAAGGATGTCATCCCCAAGTTGGGACAGAAGCATGGGCTAAAGGCTTTAAAATGGAGTTCACAGCTGCACAAAAAACAATCCTAGCCAAAAGTGGGAGCGATTTATCAGTCTGAGGAACACGAGGACCAGACAGCAGCTGTGCTCCCACTGGAGCTCATAGACAGTGCTGTAGTTGCTGGCTCCTATTTAGACACACAGAGTGCTGACATCAGCATTTAAGCCTGTTTTACACCCCCTCCTCCATAAAATGCCAGATGATACCAGACTTCTGGCAGAGAAAAACTAACAGGAATTTCAGCAAGACTGCATGAAAGACAGCAGTTCCTGAAATACAGAGGATCTTCCTCCCTCCTCCTGTATTTTTAGTTACTTGGCTAAAGATAGATACAGCAGAATCAGAACCACACCTGCTCCCACAGACCTGCCCCCTGACTTCTTCATTTCTGAGAACAAATCCCCTCCTTAGCCCCATGGACAAGGACAATTGAGTGTGACCAGTTGCCAGAGTATTTTCCTACAGGATGCAATACTGTAAAACAGTGGGAATGAACTCGTCAGGTGCACACTAGCACACAGGAAAGTACCTCCCCACTTCACACAGTCAGGAATGATCATCAGCTTCTTTCTGATGGGCCCATTCATCAGCTCATCAAGGCTGCTCTGATGCATTTTTCTGACATGGCGCTGGTAAAGCCGCACTGAAAAACAGCGAACACCCTTTGATCAGTGGCACACTTAAGACACCATCCTGCACAGACAACACTCTTCACTGTCAGTCATGGCCAACAACCCTTTTCTAATGAAAATGCAGCACCACAGAGATTGCTTACTTTTACTAGATTTGCTTACTTTTACTAGAAACCACTGAAGTCAACCCTTATTTAGGGCAGGATGACACAGGAAGACTCCATCCATTCCTACTTTTAGCTAACACTGCACTTTTTCTGGGCATCAGCTTCTGCTTTAACCACTTGCCTCTTCTCAACAGACCAGTTATTTTTGAGCTGCAATGTTTTACTTTCAAGAGTTAATTTCACCTTCCCTTATGAAACCAACAGAAAAAGAGCTTGAAAGAAGTTCTACACATGTGTTTTTCACATTGATGCACAAAAATGATGGAGCAATAATTTAATCAGACTGTTTCTACTGATGAGACACTGGCGTCCTGTCTTAAAGACAGAAATGAAAGACAGTAAGAGGAAGTAACTTAAAAGGTCATGACACAATGTTGCAGTTATGCTGACTGCTTCCTTGCTGTAATTTGTGCAGGATGTATAGGTGGAGGTGCCATCTATAGGGTTGTTCCACATTCCTATCTGTCTCTACTTATGCAACGGCAAACAAGTTCTGCTCGAGAGAATATCAACATCCATTTTAAGGATGTGCTACACTCAAACTCTTTCTCTGTCAGGGCTGAAGGTATGTGAATGGACACACAGGGCCTCAGAAGTTCAAGTATTGAAACACAACTTACTGAGATGGAAATTTTCCTGTTCATCTGATTTCACTTCTGGAACCTCCTTAGTCAAGATGTTATAAAAGTTCACATTGTCTGTGTTCTGAAAACACAAGATAATTTCAGTAATGCTAATAAAAACATTTCTCAGAGACGAAGAACAATCCTTCCTGAAAAGAAAAAAGACGAAAAAAAAAAAGTAAATCCTAAATAAAGGACCTTGTTACTTTACTTTACACCAGGAAGATACTTGTGGAAAAACTTCATTTCTACATTTGCTTTGAGAAGTGAGAAAGAGATTCCTCAAGGCTGTATTGTTCACACATGGGTTGTGCCAGAGATGTTATTTACTCCTCTGATGCAGATGTGAAGCTACAGGAAGTCTTACCCTGCATTACTCATGGCAGAGAGCTGCAGTGCCAGGTGATGCTTTTAGACAGCCCCTTCTGCCACGTCTGGTCTGGTGCTGCTCTTGCTCAACATCCTTCCAACCTACAATCCTCCAAAATCTAAAATGCTTCCTCGAGAACATGGTGCTGGGTATGAGCCACCCCTCTTCTGGAGCTGCTGACAGCTGGATGTGCCCAGGCACTGCAGATTGGCAGCTCTGATGCAGCTGACAGAGGCTGACTGAATCCAAGGACAAATGTGAACAGTGCTGCCATTAGAGAAGTTACTCCAGATTCTTGAAGCCCTGCTTTACTTGATTTTTGGGTTTTTAAAGTTCTGATGTTTAGGTCAGAAATCAGCTCACAACAGCAACTGCACAAGAACTACAGTGCCTTCACCTGCCAGCACCATCACAACTGAGAGGGGAAGCCAAGTAGATTTGAAAAGTAAAACAGGAACCAAAAGCTCCTCCTGAAAAGCAAGAAGTGAAACCAACTATCTGCAAGGCTCTGTCAGTTACGAATCACAGCAAAAAACCCCAAAAAATATCCAAAAAAAAAGAAAAAAAGGAAGTGGCTCCAGATTAGCTTTTCTGTCCAAGGAAGCCAGAGCCTTATGTGCATTAAAGAATGAGATGCAACCAAGAATGAGATTTTGAAGCAACCTTTTAACAGGAGAAACCAAAGCAAAACTTTACCAGTCTTTTATGCTGGAACTTTCTAAGTAAGGAGATGCAGTGACCCACAGTAACAGACCATAATTTGAGGTTCCTTTCCATCTTGTGCACCTACTGTAGTTCTTCAAATAGAGATGTGTGCTTAACTTCAAGTTTGTGTCTTGGTGGGTGCAGTTGTCAATATTCAAAGCTTTCCAGGAGATAAGAGTTTATTTAAATTGAAACTGTGGAATCAAGAGGACTAGCTGTCTGCTGAAACCTCAGTGCAATACTGGAAGACCACAAGGGCTGTCCTGCCCACTTTCTCTGTCAGTCCCCCAGCAGGGCATAGCAAACATTCCTTTATATCAGCACTGGGATCAACAAATCCTGGCAAAAATGACTGGGCAGAGGGTTGAAGAATTCATGCCAGCTCAGCACTCACAGAAAGGATAACTTGAAATCATGTGCCTCCCCAGACAGCAGTTAGTGCTTAATGTTGGTCAAAGATCTCACCTCTTCAATGATACCTTCAGCCTTGCCCCAGAGCTCAGTAGCCAGCCCATATTGATTTTTATTTATTGCATCCATTATTTCTTTGGCAACAGCAGTCACCTCTGCTAGACCATTATCATCAAGGAGAGACTGGAAGACAAACACAAAGAAGGACAGCTTCAATTACAATTCCACATCCATTTATTGCTAACAGCCTCCATGCTTTCGAGGTTTTATTCAGGCCAAGATGTAATCTTAAAATTCAACATTCATTTGTACTGTATGGCAGCACAGGGATCAGGTGAGGACCAAGAGTTTAAGAAAGTACTTACAGTGCTGTAAAGATAGGGTCCCCAGGACAGCACAGAGTCTAAACAAACAGAACAGATTTCAAACATCAAACTGGCAATCAATTATTGACATAAGATTTAACTTACTTCTCTTTTACTGGGGAAACAATATTTATGAGAAAAATAAATGGAGATGAATTAATCAGTAAAAAGGTACAGTAAGCTCTCTTTACTCCTAAGGTTATGTACCACAGAGCAGGTTCTTTACAAATCCTGCAACATCATTAACCCCTTAGGAGTTAACCAGTGAAATTTATTTAAAGCAACCAACATGTTTTTACCAAAATGATCTCCCCCCAGCACTGCAGCACATTACCAGATGTCTAACAAGAGGATGGGAATTATCTAAACTGATCTGTTTGAAAAGTCACAAGGGAAAAACTAAGTTATAAAACAAATCTGTTTTATAACAGCTTTGTTTGCAAATTCTCAAGGATCAGCTGATGGCAGACAGATAAGAGTTTGCTTGGTATTGTTCTGTGCTGCAGAGAATCTGTGAAGCCTGCCCTTGCCAATACCACTGAAGGACCAAGAGCCCTTTAATTTGCTTTTTATCCTCCACCAGACACAAATCTCACTTGCAGCCTTGTGAATCACTTGGCAGCCACATTTCAGCACAGGACTCTTACAAAACACCTCACAGGCTGTGGAGATGGGCAGGGACATTTTGCCATCCTTCCACTTCAGATACAAGTGTGCTCCTTGTTGCCTTTGCTCTCTGATTTTTCCTAATCTAGATACATTCTAAAAAGAGAGCCTTCAGTCACAAGAAGACTTGCAAGTCTGCAGTATTTATTTCTGATTTACCAAACTCACTAGAGTGTTAATTCACTTCAGGCAGGGATGGCCTTTTTGAGTTCAGGCACTCATGGAGTGATTACAACACCCAACAAAACAAAATGACAACAACAAATCATCAACAGTCTGAAGAGTTTAAACATACCCAAAGGAGAAATCCATGAGTCTCCAAGAGCAGTCCCCATAAAATTGCACTTTATGGTCCCTTTTTGAACAGCCTTCGTGAATAAGAGGAAAAACAAAACAAAACACCAAGAATTAAATTTTAGCTATTCATGACTCTAGAATCAGTTTTCTTTAAGTGAAAAAAGTAAGTAGCACTGTGAATTAGGAAATAGGGATGGTGTATTCCAGAAAATAAAAGTACTTGTAGAACTTTTATAGTGAAAAGTGAACTGTATCCTCCAAGTACTTACCTTGTGCAGCTCTAAAGCAACCCCAGCAGCCATTTTACCTCCATAAGATTCCGAAAATATGTAGAATGGGATGGTCTGGGGAGAGAAAAACCACACAAGGAACTCATTGCATGGAGGGCAGAAGACACCTCCAACCATCTCCCACATCCCACAGGACCCAGCACTGGCTGTTCACCTCTCACCATCAAACATTTAATGTTTTTCTTATTTTAAGCTGCACACTAGGTTTCCATAACATCCTGGTGACTTGCTGGGGTTGGTTCTAAAGTATTTTGGAACTATAAGCAGCTGTGATCCTATATATGCTGTTTGGATCACTCAACAGACAATAATCCACCCCAATGCTTATCTAACTAACCCCAAAATCAAGATACAACTTCTGAAATGTGGAAAAGAAGAGACAGTGGTTATACTTGCACCACACACTATCTAGCAGCAAAACATTGCTCATCTGGAAGTCTGTTCCCTAATTCTTTTTGAATTCTATTTAAAAGCAGAGAAAAATACAACATTAAACAAGAATTCAATTCACTTACCTGGAATTCTGTTCTACGCTTGAAGAATTCTCCAAGAAAAACCATCATATCAGAAACTACTGTGGTAAGGTTTTGGGCAAATAAGCTACAATCATCCACATAACTGAATCCAGTGCCCACAGGATTATCCACAAACAAGATACTGGCTGCCTGCAACTGCAGAAGCAGAAAGAAGGTTTGTATAAACCCTCAGTTCAGCACCAGCAAAAAAAACTTAGTTCTGATAGCACAAATTATTAACTGAGCCAGCAAATCCCTGGACCTGAAAAAACTTGCAGAAAAATTAGGTGCAACATGAAGTCCTTCAATTTGCCAAATCTGTAATGAGAAATACACCCAAAAACTGCCAGTGACCCAGAGGGAAGTCGCCTAGGGGAACTCCAGAGTACTTCAGACTGTTGGTAACTCAGAGCACAAATATATTGCTCCAATTAAACTTCCACCTTCACAGGCAGCTGTAATTTGTTTTCCCTTGAAGGCCACGCTGGACCTGTAATTATAAGCCATAGGTTTTACACTGCCAGCCACCCAGACAAAGCTCTGTGACTGCACACAATGAAGCTGTGATCTGAAATAACACTTTCTACAATTTCCCTGCTCTGTCCCAGACATGTGCATTTCACAGTTCCATGGAACAGACATACTTCATTAAACCAAATTAATATCTACCCCTCAGTTCTAAACAAGGCCATTCCTATAAGCTAATTTAATAATCACAATATTTTAACTTGAAATATTATAGTTCTACTGAACTTCAAATGAAAAATTGTTCTGTGTTTTTTTGTGTAGTAATCATCTGCTTACACAAGCAAACAAACATTTGTAATCAGTAGTTAGAAACTGAACTCTGCTGTACCCAGGTTGTATTTCTTGGTTTCATTTCTTTGTCTAACGGACCAATCTCTTCGAAGTTCCCATATCCACAGCCTGAAGATCCTGGACCTCCCTGCAGGGAAATATCAAATGACACAGATGTTAAAAGGCAGCATGGCAGAGACATGACAGATGGAAGAAAAGTAGCCAGTAAGAGAAGCAGCCAGTAAGTAGAAAGACAGACTGTAAATTTTAGAAATGACTTTTGCACTACATGTTAATTTGCAGAGCAGGCTCTGTTCCTCATGGTCTTGGGCTATGCACACACATGCCATTTCTGAAAGCAAGAATTCAACAGAGAAGCATCACCCTCTTGTGAGAGCTTCTGGTGAGCTGCCTGCTATATGAGCCCGATTTCAAAGCCTTATTCCCCAAATATGGAGTGCAAAAGTTAACTCTCTTCTAACGGGGGCCTTGCAAGTCATTGGCTCAATCAGCATGTACAGCTTGTGGGTTTCACACTGATGAAATAACCCAGAAAGAATAAGAACAAGTCCTCAAGTGATTCTATTCAACATTAACTTCTGAAATGTACTGTGGAGAACTCGCCACCACTTTCATCAAACCGGGATTGTTTCCATTTAGAAATCAACCTCAATCTCTGATTATTTTATTTACTCTCTCTCTCTCTGAACACTGTTTAGACTTCAAACTCTCCAGGAAAGGAGCTGTGAAATTGCAATGCACAAAAATCACTACAGTTGTATGAAGATAAGAACAACCTCTGTATTACAATCGAACTTGATGGAAGGTGAGCACTTGAGGACACCCCACAACTGCAGAATGAAATCACCCTTATTTTTCCCAACCCAAACACCTCACTCACAAGGCAAGGTATTTAGAACAAGGCAGTTTTAAATTCTGTTTCTGTAGAGCTGCACAATATCAGATATCAGACTGAACCAGCCACAGATGGAAAGAATTATCACTTAGGTGTCTCTCACCAAACCTTACCTGAAGCCATAAGACAAGAGGTAACTCTGTGAAGTCTTTGGTTGGGTTATTTGCATAGTAGAGCCACCAGAACATGTGGGCCTTGCTCCGAACCTCCACATATCCCCACACCTCTTTGGGCTCTTGGGGCTGCCTCAGAACTACACCTTGAGGGGAAATAACAGTAATAAGCAACTAGGTAAAAAGACTCAGCTTTGGACTTTCCACCAGAATTGTTCCAAAACATTACATTTCAGTCTTGGGTGTGATAATGAGAAGTGCTACTACTATTAAAAGAAATTACTATAAGAAACCTGCCTATACTTACACCCCCACCCACAGCTGAGTTATTGTCAATGAATGAAGTGTGTAATTAAGTGCTGCCTTATCAGAGCCTGGCGTTAGAGCTGCCGCCGGAATAACTGCCCAATTGCTGGAATAATTTGTTCTTGAAGTGGCCTGGGCTGAAGGCACAGCCGCAGTGAAATAACTCCCATAACCAGCTGCAATTTCGACAAGGATCACAGAATATTCTGAGTTGAAAGGGACCTAAAAAGATCGAGTTTAGCGAAGGGCCCGGGCGGGGATCGAGCCCGCAGCTTTAGAGCCATTGGCTCCATGAGCCGAGGAGCTGAACTGATCGCAGCGCTTTGAGCCGGTGTCTGCGGGGACCGCGCCACTTCACAGTCCCCAAGGAGAGCACCTGCAGACAGACAGAGGGTCACTTCTGACGGAATCCAAAATATAATTTAAGTCAGTAAAGTCTGGTCACTTACGCAGTCAATCTACCGTCCATCTAGGACACGGAACAGACCTTTGACACTCCATCCCTTAATCTCAGGGATCAGGGCAGAAGGCAACAGCGCACTAGAGCAGGAGCAATAAGGCTTTTCCACGGCCACGGTGGCTAGGCTTTGCTGCTCTCGCCGGGACTACCAACCGAGCAAGCGGAATTTCATGCGGCTCAGCCCGGGCCCTGCCCGGCAGCAGCTGCGGGACATAGGAGCGCCGTGCCCGGAGGCGCCGTGCCCGGAGACGCGACGCGGCGCCGCTCCGCTCCCCTCCCCTCTCTCCCGTCCTGTCCCCATCCCATCCCGGCTCGGCTCGGCCCGGCCCGTACCTGCAGCCAGCAGCAGCACGGACAGCGCGGTCACAGCCCGGAGCAGCCCCATCGCTCCCTCAGCTCCCGCGGTCACGGGACCGGCCGGCCCGGCCCGCCCTGAGGCACCGCCCCCCGCGCCCGCCTCCTCCGCCTCTTCCTCCGCCTCCTCCTCCGTGTCCATGATGGCGGCCGGCGGCGGCCCGGTGCGGCTGCGGCTGGTGTTCGACCACCCTCCGCCGGCCAGCCCGGGCTGCGCGCTGTGCTGGCTGCTGCTGGAGCCGGGCCAGGCGCGGCTCGTCACCGACCTGCTCAGCCTCATCCGCCATCGCTTCGGCTTCAGCCGCCGCGCCCGCCTCAGCCTCTTCCTCGAGGGGGCGCTGCTGCCTCCCGCCGAGAGCGCGCGCCTCGTGCGGGACAACGACTCGCTGCGGTAGGGACCGGACCGGGACAGCGGGACCGGGACCAGGGTAGGGACAGCGGGATAGGGAACGGGACAGCGGGGTCGGACACAGAGAGCGGGATCCGGACCGGGATCAGGACAGCAGGACCGCGACAGAAGGATCGGGCGTCATTCCCACACACGCACCCCATCAGTGTCTATCAGTATCTAAAGGCGGTGCCAAGAGGCCGGACCGGGATGGTGCCGAGCCGTGGGACAAAAGGCAGCGGGCAGGAACTGGTGCCCAGGAAGTTCCACCCGACCATGATGTTACAGATGAAGTTGTTTCTCGCAATGAGGTGCAGGGCCCGCACGCTGGGATAGACACGATGCGGAGTTTCCCTCACTGGGGATATTCCACGCCCTCTGGACACAGCCCTGTGCTCTGGGATGACCCTTGTTAGTCAGGGAAAGGGGACCAGGGGACCCCACTGTGGTGCCTTCCTGACCCATTCTGGGATTCTCTGGATCTCCACGTGGTTTTGGTGGGACAGGGATGGGGTTCCCGGGGCTCTGAGCTCTGCCTTCCCTCTGCCCACGGGCACTGACTCCCAGCACGGCCGGAGGGAGGGAGGGAGGGAGCCAAGCAGCTGGAAATGTTCCCGAGGATGGAACGGGAGCCTGTGCCTGCAGGAGAGGGTCCAGACTGTCCAGGGAAGAGCTGCAGCATCTTCACTCTAGGGGAACTTGCCTGAGCTGCTCACGTGTGGGGAAGAGTGTTCATTATGCTGAATGGTGGCTTTTGTTTGGTTTTTTTTTAACAGAGTAAAATTGGAAGAGATAGTTGCAGATGATTATGAAGAGATAGATGATGGCATTATTTGCACAACAAAAGAAGACAAAAAAAGGCACAGACAGAAGGAGGATGAGGAAGAATTGTCTAGGAGTGAAGGCAAGCATAAAAGGAAAAAGAAAAAGGAGAAGCATAACCTTGAGTATTCCTCTTGTAGGGAAGAGACCTCTCTAGATACTTGGGACTCTCAGAAAAGGTACACGAAAAGAAAAAGAAAGGAAGAAGTTAGGGGAAGAAATAGACTCACAGAAGGTAAGGAAGAGAGCTCTACTTCCCATTCTAAAAAGATGAAAAAAACAGAGAGGGAGAAGCAGTTGGCAACAAAAAAGAAGGATGAAAATCAGACAAAGGTTGCTGCAGCAAAGATGGCTTTAGAACGGGCAAATGAGAGCTTTTCTCTAAATTCTGGTAAAAATAGCACCAAAAAGATCACAACACAGTCCAGGAAAAAGAGGGTGGGAGCTTCAGATTCCTCCAGCACATCGTCTGACAGTGACAGCAGTGAATTAAATGTAAAGGAAAATAAATCTTCCTATAAACCTGTAGTGGTGACACTTCCCAAAGACAAATCCCAAGCTGCTTCAGATTCTGATGTGAAAACTAATAAAGTGACTGTAAAGTCTAACACTGAAAAGACTAAGACTGCAATTAGTAAAAATGCTAAAAAACCCCAGTCATCTAGTTCAGATTCTGACTCGAGTACAGAGGAGGAGAAGGTGACACCAGCACAAGACAGCACTGCAAAGGAAAAATCAGTGCCAAACCATGTGGTGGCTGTAAAAGCCAGCACCAAGGCTCCCAAAGCACAGAGCTCCTCTTCAGACTCTGATAGTTCAGATTCAGACACACTTGTCATTAAAAAATCTGCAGCAGGTGCTGGACTGGGTAATTCCATAGTAAGGAACTGCACCACACAGTTTCCAGCCAGTGCCCAAGGACCGTTTGCCAGCCCGAGCCGTGGAAGGGGGCGTGGAACGGGAGAGGATAACTTCTGGAGAGGACCTAGGGGCCGTGGGTTTCGTGGGATGATGAGGGGCCATGGGAGAGGAGCAAACCCTGCCTTCTTCTATAACTACAGCAGTGAAGGCCAGAAACAGAGGCAGTTAAATGAAGCTGCGACAAACACTTCTGTCCTTGTCCAGGTGAGTGACTCACACAGGCAGAGGTCACCTTTCTCTGGCAGCTTGAACTGTACAAAGAACCTACAGGATGAGAGTAATTCAGCAGAATAACAGCAGAAATAGATTAGTGGGATAAAGGCTGAGCTTTCATTTACTGTAATTCCGTTTGTCAGCCTGAGGACGTGTTTATGAAACAACAATAAAGTGATTGTATTCTCTATCTAAAAACAAAGCATGTACCTTGCTCTTCTCAGTGATTCTTGCAATTCATACAGCATGAACATTGTCTTGTGTTTTCACTGATAACAGTAATTAAGTCAGTGGGTTACTCTTTGTTTCACAGAATCCGGTGGAGATTCCCAGGAGAGACTATAGTGTGTTACCTCTTCTAGCTGCTCCACCCCAAGTGGGAGAAAGAATTGCCTTTAAGGTAAACTCTGGAAATGCTAAATGTTAGTAGGTTAAGATTGCTTCATTTGGGCCAGTTTTAAGTTTCTGAGCTAACAGTTTCTCTGAAAAATTCACTTGTTGTAAAGCCTGGCTTTGATTTTTGTCAAAGTTTGGAGCATATACAGAAGTTAAGTGCATTTCTTTAGACTTTCTGTATTTGTAGAACACAAGAAATGCTGTCTCTGCTGCCATTTCAATGTAATTTTCCATGTAAATGTTATTGCAAATCTTACCATACGAATAATTACACTGCACTGCAAAATAAAAAAGTAAATGCAAATGAAATCCCTGCAGCTGAGGAGGCTGGGATCCATCTCCCTGATCTCCTCACACAGCCTGACCAGAACGTAAATCCTTTGGAGCAGCGAGTCCTGGAAGTCTACCTGGGACCATGATTATCATTGGGTTCCAGGAGTAGGAGACTTGGCTCTTGCACTTCTCTGTTGCTGAAGAAACTGTGTCTGGATGTAGGTGGAATCATCAAAGATTGGGAAAAGTTACAATTTGTTACTTGTATTTCTTTCAACAGCGCCTGGAACTAACTGAAAATTACAGTCCTGAAGTTTCAGACTATAAGGTACTGGTTTTCTTTTCTCCCTTTGTTCACTCACAGAACTATGGTAGGTGAGGTGTGGTGTAAATATTTTGATGCTGTGCAATGTTTTTCCTTGCGTCCAGTTGACTCCACAGGCTATTCCTGGTGCAGCAATAAAAATCAAAACTCTAGAAGCTGAAACTAATTTAAAATTTGAAAGGTGAGCCTGTTATTAAAAAAAAACCCAAACAAACAAACAAAAAAAAAAACAAAAACAAAAACAAAAAAAAAAAAAACACCAAAAAACTCCCAACAAAACAACAAACCACCAACTACAAGGATTATTATTAATAAATATTTTAGAGATGACAAAAAATGCAGATCCTCAAGTAGAAAAATGTAGCTGTATTTGAGTCTACTGCTATTGGAAGTTAGGGCAAATTCTTAAAACTGGTGCAAGTAAAATTTTGTTGCTACTTCAGATATCTTGGTTTCTGAATAAGTACTGATTTAAACTGCAAAGTTAGTAACAATGAGTAACTTTGGTTTATTGATGCCAATAGTTACAGATTGCTGAGCATTAATTCTTTGCAGATTTTATACATGGAGACTAGAAAATTTGATAGCCAAATGTACTTATTTCCTCTGGCAGCAATCAAGTAGTGCACTGGTTGTAAATATGGAACACTTAACCAGTGCTGAAGTGTGTCTTACCTGATTCTTTTCTTGTTGCTTTGTGAAGGAGGCAAAAATACTCAGTTGGAATGATGAAAAAAAGCAGATTGAACTTGAGATCCTTTCAACATCAGCAGGACAATGTACGTACCTGGGAACACTTAATCTTTCAGGAGTATTCCCAATTACCTTGGGATCATTCTCAACACACCCCTCCCCTCCTCATTCCTTCCCCAAAAATCTGTTTAAATTGAGAAGTTCTAACAAGTTCTAACCCTTGCTAGTTGAGCTGAAGGATGCTCATGGGTATTTACAAAATAATTTTTTTCAGTAGTTTGAGTGGTCAGTAACTCACCTCTACTGTGGTTTCATTTTCTGAAAGAAATTATTTCAGAAAGAAAGAAAATATTTTATATTATTATTTTGAGAGAAAGTGTGAAGTCATAATGGTGTACCTTCAGTGGGTGTGGAAGTGAGTCCCTGCAATGACAAGTTCCTGAGACCTGAAATGTTTAATGGTTTTTAAACCGTGTATCATACAGTTGCCATTTAAGCCAGAATTAGTGAATTGTCATATGAGCCTTTTTCTCAAATTTCAGCAACATATTGTTGACTTTCTCATGTGAGTAGTCAGATAATTATCTTAATTTTGGTGTGTAGTATTCAGTTTTTCCTCAAGATTTTCTGTTACAATTATGAACCCAGACACTGAGCACAAAAAAACCCCCAACAGAACAAACCCCAAAACCAACCTGATTTTGGTCAGCTTTTGTGGCAAACATTTCAGTTTCTTTGGTTTGTAGCTGGTTGAGCTGTTTGTTTGGCTTTCAGTTGCTAAGGAGCCAGGGAAGTTCGACCTGGTGTACCAGTCTGCAGACGGAGTGGAGCTGATCGAGTACGCGGTGCCTCAGGACACCAAGGTACGTGGGGCCCGCTCCGAGTCCTGCCACCAGCTCTGCACAGCTGGCACCTGCCCTGCTCCCTGCCTCTCTTCACCTCAGGGACATTCCCTTTGGAGTCATGATTTGAATCAAGGGAAGCAAAACCAATTGTTTCTTTCTAGCAAGAATGTGCATGTTTACATCATAATAATCAGTTCTTGGTTCTCAATTAACTGGGGTCACAGTCACTCATCAAAGTTCTTGTTTTGGCTAATAAACAACATCATGTCTCACAGAGATCCTTTCTTACCAGCTTTTCCTTTCATCACTGTTGTTGTAACCTGCACCTTTCCTTACCCAGGGTATCAGGCAGGTTGAGGTTCACCAGTAGGATCAGTGACTCACAGGAGGAGCTGTGATCTCAGTTCAGTGGTGCCATTGTTCAGGTCTAGGCAAAAGCATAACAGCACAGAAATTGCATCTGCTGGTGCTGCTGGCCCCTGCCAAGTGCTGCCTGTGGTTTGTTTTCAGATAACTGAAAGCTGGGATGCGCTGATAGAGCCGAGACTGATTGTGGAGCCTCCAGTTAATGGATCCAGCGTTGAAAATGGAACATCTAGGATGTGAAAAGATGTGAGCAATTGTACAGATCTGTTCTGTGAAATGATGCCTTCTGGTTCTGAGGGTGGCAGGTGCACTGATGGATGTTACTGTCTTAAAAAGAAGTAGGCCAAAAGAAAAAGTTTTTTCCCTTAGGCTATGTTTTATGTAATACATGAAAACTTTGTTTATTATAGGAAGTCTAATATAGATCTGTTGGGTTTGAATATTTATATCCTACTGTAGCAAGCTGCAGAACTGGAATGGTTTGATTAAAAGATAAAACACAAGCCTGTACTTTAACTGTTTAAATGTCTGGGTTTGGCTAGAGCTGTATAACTGCCAGAGGTCATTTTTATTTAAAAATTTATTATAAATATTGTTGATATGCATAACTGTCCCTTTGCTGCTTCCACAGCATACAAATGCTGTGACTTTGCAATTACTTAAAGAGTTCACCTAAAAATACTCAGAAAACCTGTGAATTTCAAGCTTCTGTGATTTTGAGGCAGATAAATAGCACTGGTAACTGTCAACTCTGCTTAGAGCCAGTGGAATATAACATGAACCCCTGGCACAATTGTGTCCCACTGTGTTAATCCATGTAGGCTCTGAAAGCCTTTATTGTTGGTTTTAGAGCAAACCATCTTGCCCTTTAAGTGCTGAAGTTTCTGTGCAGCCTTTCTTCCCTTTCCAGCAGCAGAATGGGTCACCAGGTGCTGGCAAGGCACTGCACTGACAGCTCTAATAATTATGAGGATTGAAGGGGCACCTTGTGCCTCTGGAGTTTTGGCAAGTCTTACACTTTAAGATAATCCCTGTGCTAGACAGTTGACTCCTACAGAGAAGACATGGGAAAAAACAAACCCTAGATACAAACACCTGAAAATTTGTACATTATGATTTAGCTGTCATGTACTCTGACCTAGTGCATGAATCCATTAAAGTACTGTGCATTCTTTTGTCAGCCCTAGTAAAATGTCTTGTTTGTGAAGGAATTGTTTTTATACAAGTGAAATGAATTTGTGTTTTGGTTCACTTCAAAACCAGTATTTCATGCTAGGATTTGTTTTTTAGAGAAAAGTTCAGTTAGATTCATGTGGCTGTTCTTGCAGACTGGATGAAAAGAAGATGCCAGACATGAGCACAGTCATGCTTAGACAATGGGGATTAATGGAAGGATTGTTTTCCTAAGGGAAATTGTTCCTTGTTAATTCTTAGGAAGTTGCAAAAGCTAAATGCAAGTGTTTCTTGTTCCATTGCCTACTGTGCATTTTTGGCATGAATTAAATGGATGCAGAGTCACTCTGGCTGTGCCAAACAGGAGATGCTGGAAAATAAATACACCCCTGAGAGAGGCTGTTTTGAAGGTAAAATCTTGAGTTTTATTTACCCATTGTTACCAAGTTTGCATGAAGCTACTGCTTCACTGCTCATTCAAATCAGACCAAGGGCAGGCAGCCTGAGGGAGCTGCCAAGAGCCCTCCCTGTGCCATCCACTCCTTCTCTGAGGAATCTGGGATGGGACAATGTGACGTGAATCCCACAAGGAGGTGGTGAAACACTGAACAAACCCTCACTGCTGCCTTTCTGTCCCTGGAGCTCTCCCATCTGTCGCCAGCCCAAGGTACAATTTATCCCACTGTGCTTCTAAAGCCCTGCTTGGGCTCTGGGGGGCTTTTTGAATGTGCAGTATCTGGGCAAAGGGTTAGATTTAGTTCAGAATCACAGGAAGTTCTCAAGTATTTGCAAGCAAAAGTGAGTAAGAACTTAAGTAGCTATTTAAATGGTAGCAGTAATTTTTTTTATGTTAAAACTTTATTGTCTCATAGACAGCAGGAGTGGTTGGGCTTCCTCCAAAAGAGGAAGCATGAGCTTTTGTCCCAGCTCATGCACAGCACAGCTCTCTGAGTGTTCCTTTGCAGTCACTATCAGCCACCCCCTGTCAGGTGTTTGCATTTCCTCTGACAGCAGTTACAAAGTCCTGGTCAGCACATCCCAGCCACGCTGTAAACCTGTGGCACGGTGCCCATTTCCTAGAAACTCCTCCACCCTCCAGCACATGACAGAGCTGATCCCTGAACTTTTGCTTCTGTCACAGCCCTGCAGCCCCAAATGCCTCCCTTGTCCTTTCTGCACCTGTATCTGTTCCTGAGCAGTGACTCAGAGCCCTGTGACACACAACCCCTCCACAGCTTATCCTGAAGGAGTGTTAAAAGGCTGGAGGGATAACTTATGTAGGTACAAGTTCACGTTATCTGTGCAACATAGCTTTACAATGATTCTCCAGATTTAATTTAATAGTCCAAAAGAACTGGCCAGGAGCTGATTTCACTTGTAACAGACCACCCAACATGGCTTCTTTTGAGTGCTTTATAAAATGAGCATGAACATGAGCCAGCAGTGTGCCCAGATGACCAAAAAGGCCAACTGTACCTGGCACTGGTGAGGGCACACCTGGAGTGCTGTGCCCAGCTCTGGCCCCTCAGTTTGGGAAGGACTTTGGGACACTCAAGTGTGTCCAGAGGAGGCAACGAGGCTGGAGAGGGGCTGGGAACATAAATGCTGTGAGGAATGGCTGAGGGAGCTGGGGGTGCTCAGCCTGGAGAAAAGGAGACTCAGGGGTGCCCTCATCACTCCAACTCCCTGAAAGGTGGCTGTGGCCAGGTGACGTTGGGTCTCCCAGCCAGCAACTGACAGATTGAGAGGACACAATCCTAAGCTGTGCCAAGGCAAGTTTTGGTTAGATGCTAGAAAGAAATTCTTCACTGAAAGAGTGGTTGGGCACTGGAATCGTCTGCCCAGTGAGGTGGTGGACTCACCATCCCTTAGTTTAAAAAACAGACTAGATGTGGCAGTCAGTGCCGTGGTTTAGTTGAGGAGATGCTAGTTTAGGTCCTAGGTTGGACTAGATGATCTTAAAGGTCTTTTTCAACCTAGTTCATTCTGTGATTCTGTGTAACTCCTGAACATTCTTGGAAGTCCCCAAGGACTAACGCCAACAAGATCGCCTGCTAATACTTTTAAATGACATTAAAGGGAACCTCAGCAGTTCTCCACACAAGGTGTTCTTTGCCCACTGGACAAGAGTTGAGAGCACACAGCTTCTGCTGTCGCAGCCCATGAGGTTCTGTTTAAATTATTGGGGGGCCACAGACTTTGTGCCAGGCTGCTCCTTTTATCCCTGCTGCCAGCATGGGTGGAGAAATACAGAAAGCGCCAAGGAAGTTCCTGGGACACCAGCAGGCCGGGCAGAGGAGGGAGGAGGCAGAGACCACTGGAACGCTTTGCGGTTAGTTAGTTAAGTTAGTTAAGACAGGAGTTAGTTAAGACAGGAGTACTTGCCATGTTGCTATTCAGCATCAATGTTCCTGTTAGAAACAGTGATTATTGAACAGTCAGACTGAGAAAAAGAAATTCAAGGAAGCATCTTCTGTTGAGATCACAAAACAATCACAAAGCAGTAACCTGTGTGCTTTAAAAACATTGCACTGACATCAGCTGTTGCAGACAGATGATTTTTAAGGTCCTTTCCAGCCCAAACCTATGAGTCCGTAGGATCCCCGGCATCCAGGTTACCCGCAGCTCGGAGCAGCTGGGGCGGTGCTCGGGGGGATTTGGGGTTCACCCCCTCCCCGAGCCGGCGGGCGCGGTGGTGGCGGCAGCTCCGGACAGCGCTGGGCCGGCCCGAGCTCCCTCGAGCCGGGGCCCGGCCGGGAGCGGGGCGGGCAGCGCGGGTGGGCACCGCACTCCAAACGCCCCGCTGCGGTTCAGAGCCGACCCCGAGGCCTCCGGGCACCTCCGAGTGACGCTGCCCCGACCCCGGCTCGGACCCCCGGCCCGGCCCGCCCGCAGCCCCGGGGTCCCGCTCCTCAGGGCAGAGCCCCCGGCGTCCCGGGGCTGCCCGGCTCCCCTCATGGGCGGGCGCCGCAGGGTTCGTCCCCCGGCCGCCGCCCCTCCCGTCGGGGCGGGGATGAGACACGTAGTTTTCCGGAAAGCCCGGACCATAGTTTCGTTTCTCCGAGCCCAGGTTTGTTTCGGGTTCTCGGGGCGGCTGCGGACGGGGCGATGGCGGCGCTGGAGTCGGAGCCGGGCCTGTCGGGGCTGGAGGAGGAGCTGACCTGCTCCATCTGCCTCTGCCTCTTCAGCAGCCCCGTGACGGTGCCCTGCGGGCACAACTTCTGCGCCTCCTGCCTGGATCTCAGCTGGGCCGGCCTCTCGGGGGGCTTCAGCTGCCCGCAGTGCCGGGCCACCTTCGCGGGCCGCCCGCAGCTGCAGAAGAACACGGTGCTGTGCCGGGTGGTGGAGCAGCTCCAGGGCCGCTCCGGGGCAAAGGGCGAGGAAGAGGAGGAGAATGAGGATGAGGATGGGGATGAGGGGGGGTGCTGCGCGGGGGAGCCCCCCGTGTCCTGCGACAGCTGCCAGGAGGCGCCGGCCGTGCAGACCTGCCTGACCTGCACCGCGTCCTTCTGCGCCGAGCACCTGCGGCCGCACCGCGACAGCCCGGCCTTCCGCGACCACCAGCTCTGCCCGCCCCTGCGCGACCTGCAGCTGCGCAAGTGCCCCCAGCACAACAGGCTCTTCGAGTTCTTCTGCAGCAAGCACGGCGTCTGCATCTGCTCCCTCTGCCTGCTCGGCCACAAGCTGTGCCCCACCAGCCCCTTGGAGCAGGCAAAAGCCTCTGCCCAGGTGAGCAGCCGGGGCTGGACGGGGGTGACCGGTGGCCTCCGGGGCTGGAACACCCTCCCAAGGGCTCCCCGGGGCTGGAGCACCCTCCCAAGGGCTCCCCGGAGCGCCCCTTGGCTCTCTCGGTGCCGTCGGAGCTGCTCTGGAGTGCGGGAGGAGGCTGGAACAAGACGTCGACTGTAAATCTGGTGTCTGGCATTGATGAACTGTTATCTGTGCTCAGGCATGTCCCCGGAGCCATTCCTTGCGTTTTCCTCGTCTCTCCAAGATGTTGCTCAAGAGCAGGGGGCTGGGAAGGCGCTGTCAGGGAGCTGCAGTGGCAGGGCTGGGCTGTCCTGGCTGGGCTCTCCAGTGAGGCCTCCCACACTCTGTGGCGTCACCCAGAGCTCTGAGCCTCCTCTGCTGCTCTGCTCCCTGCCAGGCTTCTCACTGCCTGAGGGGCCCACTTTCTGCTGCAGATGTTCTTAAGAAGAAGAATTATAAAGGTATCCTAGGGAGATCTCAAGTATGTAGATGAAAGGCAGAAGGAAGGTCATGGAGTAGAAGGGAAGGAAACCTGGCCTTTATATTTTCCAGCACAGCTGAAAATCAGTGTGGATGAGTAAAGTATGCTGAAAAAGTTTAGGTGGTCAAACTCCCATCTGTTCAGTGGGTGTGTATATGTTGTGATAAGGCACGAAATGATGACACAGACACTGCTGCTCTCGAGGGGAACAAAAAAGAAAAACTTTATTTTCTAACTCCAACATTTATAGTTTTCCAAAGGTGACAGTGGATTGGAGGGGGACAGTGCCACCTCTCCAATGCCACTGGACAGACCAAGGGTCCATCAATTCTCTCCACCTCTATGAAAGAATGCAAAACATAGGTTATTTACAGAACTGTGTGTGAAAAAGGTTGTTGAAAGAATGTAAACATCAGAAGGCTTAACAAAATCTTACAAAATCAGGGCGACATGTATACAGCTTAGCTGCAGAGCTTAGCCCTGATTGAGCTTAGCAGAATCTTGAACTAAAGGAACAGGTAAATCACATCTGAGGGAGAACATTCTCAAAAGGAGTGGGGTGAACAGTAGCATCAACTTTGTGCTGGAAGTCCAACCTGGGAGTTAATGTAACATTTATTCGTAGCATGAGAACTGCTGTGCTGATGAAAGCACCGTGTCCTTTGTGAAGAGAGTGTCAGCCATGGCATCTTGCTCTTGGGAGAGGTGCGGAGGGTGTGGGTGCCACAAGCCACACGCGTGCAGGACGGTACTTTTACACCCCCTAAGCTTCAAGGGGAGGTAGATTTTAAGCTGAGAGTACTAAATGCTTACAAGAGTATTTAAAACTGAGAGCAGACATGACCACTGCCTCTCTGAAATACTTTCTGGTCTCTCCTGTTGCAGTCGCTGCTGAAGAAAAAACTTGCGGAGCTGCATAACCAGAGTGAAAGAACTGCCCGGGCAATGAGCACGGTGAAAACAAAACAGAACCAATCTGCTGTAAGTGGGGAACTGCTCAGAGTGCTCTCAGGTTGCCTGGCACCCACTGGCCACTGCATGGTGTTAGTACCCTTGTGACAAGGGCTGTACTGCTGAGGCTGCATTGGCAGGAGAAGGTGTTACTAGGAAAGAACAGAAAAGAGGAGTTTTGGCAGGGCCAGGCAGCACTGTGGGAGATGGGAGTAAACCTGGCACTGTGCAAGGTTTTATACTCTCCCATGAGGGTGACACTGAGAATGGGCTCCATTCCTTGTGAGTGAAGGAATTTTCTTTCCAAACCACATAGAAATCGACAGCTCTTCTCTTGCTTGTTTCAAGGAGGAGAAGCCCACATGTTCCTCAGGCTTTCATGCAGTAGCACTTAGAGTATTTTGTTTACAAACTGTTCTTTTGAAATCAGTACCTATCTGTTCTTGTCTGCCCCAGGAGACAGCTTCAAGAAAGAAGGAATTGATCAGAAATGAGTTTTCAGAAGTTAAAGCTGTAATTGAAGAAAGAGAAAATGAGATCATGAAAGCAATTACAGAGGAAGAAAAGAGAGTTTGGAATAAGTTTGATTATATTTACAGTGTTCTGGGAAATAAGAAGAATGAAATTCAGTCTCTCAAAGATCAGATTGAGATGGCACTGACTGAAAGTGATGATGTTCTGTTTTTGAAGGTAATGTGTCATTTAAGTGTGAATCCAGTTCTTCATTCTAGAATGCAGAATAACAAAAACCTGCTGTGGTTGTCATACTCTCCAGAGACTTCCAGTCAAATGGAAATGCAGTGGTGTGCAAGAACCTGCTGTCAAAGGATGTCCTAAAAAGTACACAAATGTCAGTGAAAGAATGCTGAAGGGAGTCTGGTAACTCTGCCAGTTCAGCCACTGCCTCTGCCACAAGCAGAGAGGGGTCACTGGGCAGGAGTCACCTCCCTGAGGTGAGGCAGCTCTGTGCTGTGACGTGGCTGCTCGTTGGTTACCAGTGGGAATTAAGGTGTCTGAGCTGCTGCTGGAGTTTTGCCATGAGCTGTGTCTGACTGTGGCCTTTGTTCCCTTGAATTTGAGATGAATGCACAAACTGCATCCCAGTCAAAGTAAGCTGGTTGTATTTTTCTCTGTGTGCTACACAAGGTGGTCTCTCATTTGTTGTTTCAGAGAGCATCAGCACTGCAGCGAACATCAACAAAAGAGGCTTTTGTTCCTGTAGTTGAAATGGACCAAAATGTGATGCATTCCACTTACCAGTCTGCCATTACACTCAAAGACATAGTGAAAATGTCAGTCGTTCAGAGTCGGGAGAAAGAAGAAGAAGGTACTCTATCTCTGGGGAAATTGGCATTTTCTACTTTTGCTTTGAGCTGAAATGAGGGATCTTTCCTCTCCAATCCAAATACAATTTTTTAAAAAAGTGCAACAAATACAGTTGGTTAATAGAAATTGTGCCTTCCAATCTCTGCAGTGTTCCATTTCCACACAAAAACATTACAGTCTGGGCTAAATTGGGAGACAAAACGTGCCAGTGTTTCTTCACTGTTATCTATACTTGGATAAGCTGATGAGTATCATGATACTACACCCTACTGGCACAGCTCAGCCTTTCTTCTTTGGAGTAATTTATGGTTATGGTTACTGTGTAGCAGGGGTGGATGTGGTTAGGATGTGGATTTGAGGGGAGATTTGAAAGAGAGTGGCAGGACTCTGCCTGCCATAAGGCAGGAAAGATGGAGAAGATGGAAAAATGTCCTCACTAATGCATGACTATTCCTGGCCATACAAACCATAATGTAAATTATCACCATTGCAGCCAAACCTGTGAAAAATAAGGCCCCTTTAGCAGCTCATCCAAAGAAAGCCGCTGTTGGAAAAAAGCCCCACGGACCACGTAAGTACTACAGAACACCATCCTGTCCTACCTATGGCTTTACTGTTAAATAAGAGTTGAGGCAGTTACCCAAGAGCTGTTTGCTGTGCTGGTGATGCAGTGATGACCTGCAGTGAGCACCTTGGCACAGGGACGGGAGGGTGCTTTGTGGTATTTGGGGATGCATGCCTTGTGAGCTGGATGGGGAACTGCACAGGTACAGGGGTGCATCAGCCTGTAGTGGTGTCAGTGTGGGCTGTAAAGCAAAGCAGAGCCTCCCCACCCTCTTGTTGGTGCAGGTTTTTTAAATTTGTGCCAAACACCTTTTGGTTTGTTTGATAGATTCGTATGTGTAGAGTTCTGCTTAGTTGAGTTCTGTTCATGTTCTGATTGTTTTCTTCCTCCCTCACAGACCAGACCCACAAAGAGAAAACCATTCCTCAGGCTCAAACCACTTCACAGGGAGAGACAGATACCACCAGTAAGTGTTGATTAGAGGAGCCTTACTCAAACATTTTGCTGCCTCCAGTCTAGGGCTGGGGTGATGGTCTTCGTGGCAGGTTATACTGGGGCCTGTCAGTGCTGTTTTGTCCAGATACCAGAATTGATGGGCACTGTAGCCTGTTTGGATGATCTTCCATGTTTTCTTTTTGAAATAAATGTAAGCGTTAAGAAACAGCTTCTGTTATTTCCAGGGAGCTCTTGACACGTGGTCCAAGTGCTGGGTGTGGAGCAATCAGGGGCTGTGCTGGGGAAGCAGGACTGGAATGGAACTGCAGCTCCTGTTGCTGCACTGAAAGCTCTGTTGTAAAGAGGAAAGGAATAGTCAGTGTTCCTCATGGGAACAGGAGCATTCCATGTGCCTGAAAACACTGCTCCTGGAGGGGAGATCAAGCTCCTTTCAGGCTTATGACCCTGTGAAACAGGAAGCAAATGGAAGGCTGTGCTTGATGTGCAGCTTTCCAGTGTGAGGGTATTTGTACATGGCTTCAGCCTGCTGGACTGTCAGCTCTTTACTGCTGCAGTTTCAGAAGAGCCATGGTGATGGTATTACACCTGGCACAGTCTTACCAATGGCTTTTGCCTCCAAGTAGAACTCACAGTTTACTTTTTTCTTTTCCCCCCTCCAGAAGAGAAAAAGAAAGCTGCTAAAGTTGGTGAGTCCAAACTTTCATCATGGGTATTCTAATTTTCATTGACTGCTCTTAAAATGATAAGATGGTCATTAGTGTTGGTGTACTGAACAAAAGTTCAGCTCTTGCTGGCCACTGTGGGAGCAATCAAACACTGAGAGAAGTTGTCCAGAGAGTGGGATTTTCAAAACTTGACATGACAGTGAACAGCGTGAGCTAATATTGAAGTTAACCCTGCATGGAGCAGGAGGCTAAACCAGATCAGCTCCAGCCTGGGTGTGTCTGTGATGGGGTGTTAAACATGTGAGGTCTCTTCCCAGCTGGCCAGACTCTCTGTTCTTCTGTTGACACAGCACCAACCACCACACCAACCGCCACAGCTGCTGCTGCTGCTAAAGACCTGCTTGACAGCTTCCTGAAGAAACCCAGAGAGGAGCTCTTGCAGTGTAAGACACCCAACATTACACTCCTTAAAGATGAACTTTGCTCTTGTTGTGCTGATGTTATGTGTCGTTTGTAGTGACCTGACAAAAATACATCTGAGAGAGTTTTGTTACCTTAATAGGTTGTTAAATATTGCTTCCTGAAGAAACCCAGAGAGGAGCTCTTGCAGTGTAAGACACCCAACATTACACTCCTTATAGATGAACTTTTTGAGTTTTGTTAGCTTAATAGGTTGTTAAAAATGAAGCAAATTTCTGGAGAAAAAGGGGGCCAGGAGGTTTCTAAGTGGTTCTTTTGCTGGATGTATCAAATTAATCTTCAGCATCTGTGAATCTTCTGAATGAAGATAAATGAAGTTTTTCAAGTAAGGATTTTGGTTTCCCCAAAAAAGACAGCATTAGGGTAGCCTAGAAACACACTGTAATGTACTGGATTCTTTTTAAATGGAATGCAGGCTTTTATGTGAGCCCATGATGGCTTGTTAAGATGCTATACAACATGGCACACCTTTTGCTGCCAGATCAGCCATCACCTTCCTTTGGGGTATTAGGGTGCTAAAGAGATCCTGTGAGGCTGCAGGAAGGAAGAAAACTCCTCCTCCATTTGCCTGTTGTGTGACATAGAGCTGCAGTTGAACCCAGCAGCTTGTACTGTGGCCCTAAGAACTGGCTGCACTGAGGAGGAGAGCAGAGCTGGCAGATAAACATAGCAACAAGTGCTGAGGCAGGACAGGATAAACAAAAGTGCTTTGTTCTCCAGCACCCTCGAGTGACTCGTGTCGTTGCAGATGCTGCCAACATCACGCTGGATTACAACACGGCTCACAGCACCGTGGTTCTGGCTGAGAACTACACCAGGATGTCCATCTCAGACACCTTCCCAGGCCACAGGTACCACCCTCAGCGCTTCACCGATTACCGCCAGGTGCTGGGCTTCCAGTGCTTCAAGAGAGGCATCCACTACTGGGAGGTGGAGCTGCAGCAGGGCAGCTTCTGCGGCGTCGGCGTCTGCTACGGCAGCATGGAGCGCCAGGGCCCCGAGAGCCGCCTGGGCAGGAACAGCAAGTCCTGGTGCATCGAGTGGCTCAACTCCAAAATATCCTCCTGGCACAACGACGTGGAAAAGTGCCTGCCCAACACAAAGGCGACCAAGATCGGGGTGCTGCTCCACTGCGAGGGGGGCCTTGTGGTTTTCATGGCGGTGGGGGAGAAGAATAACCTGATCTATAAATTCAAAACCCAGTTCACTGAAGCCTTGTACCCAGCCTTCTGGCTGTTCTCCAGTGATGCTGTTCTCTCTCTCTGTCACATGAAAGAGTAAGGTCTTGTATCTCAGTTTAGTTCTTTTACAGCACAGATAATCTGTCTCAAAGATTGATTGATACAGAAATTATCATCTCTTTTAAGCAGCTTAGGAAATCTGCCAGTTCTTTGGACTGAATTGCTAAAGCCTTTAGATAGTGATTTAGCAAAATGTTGGTGATGATACAAACTACAGTGGTTTGCAAAGGTCTTGGTTGCCCTGAAATCAAAGTTATGGTGCAAATCCTTGTTAAATGTCTTCAGTGGCGTCTGTGGCTTCTGTGGTTTCCTGTAAAGGAGCAACAGAATTAATGTGTTCATGGGTAACAATAACCCCTTTGAGAAAGAAACAGGAAGAATTCTTTGACAAATTCAGGCTTTGAGGGAGGTCTCACTGTTGCCTTTTGGCCTGTGCAGAGGCTGTTGTCCATACAGGTGTTCTCAGTGTAGGACTGTCACTACAGGACACGAGACAACACAACGCAGGCATACTGCTGCTCTCAAGGCAGGAAAAAGAGAAGTTTATTTTCTGACTCCCAACATTTATAGATTTCTAAAGGTGACAGTGGATTGGAGGGTGAAAGTGCCACCTCTCCAATGACACTGGACAAACCAAAGTCCATCAAGTTTCTCCTCCTCCATAGAAGAACGCAAAACAATCAGTTTACAGAAAGTGTGTGAGAAAGTTTGCTACAAGAATGCAAACCTCAGAAGGCTTAGAAAATCTTAAAAAATCAGGGTGACATAGGACTCCACCAGAAAGAGCTGCTGAAATCCCTAAGTTCAGGTCTTATGGCTGTAAGTTATAAAAGCCACTGTGACAAATCTAATCAGAATGGAACTGCCGAGACTTCTAGAATTGATGGGAAATAAATTGTATTAGAATCACCAGGAAACAAATGACATCAGCCCAGACACTGGGAATACACCAGAGAGTTGTCAGGAAGACATCCTGCAGAGCAGTGGTGTGCATCCTGTGATGAAGATTGTGGGATGAAGCATTCTGTGTCATCTTCTGACCCAGGACATGCTTCACATCTTCACACTGAAGGCTCTTCAGTGCTGGGTTTTTTTGTGTGTGCTGGGGAGTTCAGGGGGTGCATTCCTGCTCTCAGGTTCTCCATTCTAATATTTCCCTCTTTATGAGGTGGGATATTCTCTGCTGGTGTATCTTTAGCTTAAAGAAGGGCCTCCTGTCATAAAGCTTTTCCTCTTTATGAGGTGGGATAGTCTCTCCTGGTGTACCTTTTGTTGTTCAGGTGGTAGAAACTGGGTTTCTTGCATGTTTTTGGGACTCCAATTTGAGGAGTCTCAAGACAGAGTGCAAGTACTTGGAAAATGCTGGTTCCTCTCTGTGAAGCCTGTGGGCAGACAGGATGAGTCTTTTGACATACAGAGAATTAGCACAAAGGAGAATATACATCCATTCTTCTGGGATGGATTTTTAATTCTCCTGGTGTTCTTTGGGTTGTGGTATGTCTTCAGAAGTTCTCACCAGGTGCAGAGAAATCTGTACTTCTTCCTTACAACTTTAAAACCATCTGTAGGCAATCAAGGTATTTGGATCTCATAGTTATTGGGTCCATATAAACCTGGACTTACTGTGCCAGCTTTTATTTCTTGTAGCCCATGGGAAGCTCACATGAGAGCCTTCCTGGACTTGGATTTCTAAAACTGCCCTTACAGGACTTGGTGAAATAGAACACAAAGCCACTGCTGGCAGTTTTGCAGGGAATTCTTAAAAGGCTTAAAAGAACCTCTGTGACTACATTAGCCAAAGTGCTCTGGAGAGAGGCTTTCAGGAATTCAGGCTTGGTGTCTATTTTTACTTGGCTTGTAAACTCTTAGTACTTTGTCAAAGATAGCACAAGTCTCATTTCTTCCAATGTTTTGGTCAGAATAGGATATGGAATCGATGGTGGATCTAAAAGTGCCATGGCTGTCTTTGGAGCAGTTCTACTCCCTGAAGGGTCTCCACTTTCCAAAGCACAGTCAGCACTAAAACTCCCAGCCTGGGCAGAACATGCAAAAGGTGCAGAAGGAGGCTGTGTCCTGCTGGGAGCCAGCAATGGGTGACAGACTGGGTTTTCTGCCCTTCCAGTTTTCTGCCCTTCCTTTCAGCAGTGAAAGATAAGAGCAGTTCCCTCTGAGAAATCCTTTTGCTCCTTGGCTGTGCACAGGGCTGCAGATGCACTCAGCAGGGTGCTGAAGGAGTACTCTGTCCCCTTGGCTTTGGGCAAAAAGGTGCTCCAGCAGTCTGTGCAGTGGAGGAAGTCCCCATCCTCTGTTCCTTGCTTCTTGACTTCAGAGAGGTGTCAGTACTGGCCTCTGAGTCTGTGGGCTTCTGTGGCCATGGTCTGGAGGGACACCCAAACAAAGTAAAGAGCAGCTTTTATTCTGCCTCGTTGGACGAAGTGGGATTCTTGACATGGGACACTGGGGCAGGACCAAGCATGTGGAACACATAAGGTGTCCTGCATTACCAGGCAGTGAAACAAGCCTTGTACTGGGCTCCTGAACCTCTGTTTTGCTTTCTGTTGTGCTATGAATGACTAGAAGTCATAGAGTAAAGTTCTTTAATTTGGAATTCACAGAATCACAGAATGTTCTGAGTTGGAAGGGACTCACAAGGATCACTGAGTCCAGCTCTTGAGTGAATGATCCATATGGGGATGGAAATGGGGACCTTGGCATTACTAGGACCAATCTCTGGGCATCTGAGAAATGTTTTGGTTAGCTTCAGGTATCTTGCGTATTTTGAGACATTAGTGTGATATAACTTTTATAACTAATAGTAAATATTAGTGTGTTTAGGAGAAATACTAGTTACTGCACGATAAATGATCATTTTAAAGCCTTTTCAACACAAATGGATTGGTTTTACTTGGGAGGCACCTGTAAGAGCTGCACTGAATTTAAAGAAGACATATATAGGAGCATATATTTTAATTGTAATTCTCTTTTTAGTATTACAAAGAAAGCAACTTAGTCTAGAAAAAGAACTAATTCTGGTGTTAACACCATGAGAATGTGCATTGATTTGCATTTTATTATACAAATTAGAGTAAATTAAAAAAAAACAGTTGCTGAATGAAAATAAATGAATGTTTAATCTTTTCTTCAATTAAAGACATCAGTAAAGCAGTGTATTTAGAAAAATATATGCTTATGCAGTTATAAACCTGTTGATTACTGATATATCAGCCCTGTTCTTCATTCTGTATACGGTGTGTTATTGTTTGTAGCTGTGCCAGCCACACACAGGCAGGGCCAGCACCATGGGGTTTGTGCCACCAGGTCCCTGTGCCTGTGCCCACTCCAGGGGTGGCTGGTGACTGGTGATGGCTTGAATTCAATAAAAACTCACAGTAAACCCTAACTCTGAATGTTTTGTTCTCTGCTCAGGCTCGAAGCAGGGAGGGGGGCAGCGGTGAAGACACAACAAAGGACAGCTCTGGTGGTGCCTCACTCGCTGGGCTGGGGGGAGCTGGGGAAGGGGCAGGCAGAGCTGTGGTGTTCTCTGGGCTGGTCCTGAACTGCCTCCTTCCCCGGGGCTGTGGATGCCGTGGGACAGAGAGAGAGGCAAACAGCAAGCGTTTCTCACAGCCGCTTGTGAGAATTTTCAGGGAGTTGGAAGGATGTGATAACTTGTTAAGTATAAACAATCTGTAGGTGGTGTTTTTCTCCTTAATCTTTCTGTTCTTCTCAAGGACAGTGTGAGGGAGGTGTTTTTGTTAGTTAGCCAATCAAACAGAATCCATCGTATCACTCTATTTAAACCACGCGGGTCTCTTCAATAAATCCTTCTTGGATCCTTCTACAATCCTGCCTCCCGCCTGTCCCGTGTCATTCTCGGTGCAAGAGTGACACTGAGCCACACACCCATTGTCAGTAATGCTCCTCCTCACTGAGGATGAGATCATCTTTCCCAGGAAACAAAACTGGAGACCTTCTTGGGTAAGCACAACCATGGTCCTGCATGCTGGAGGAAGATGGACAATTGAAGACACAGTGTGGGATTGCTCTAAAAAGCCTCAGGTGAGATCCAGCATCTGCCAGCCCAAGTTACACCTGGAAGCAGCAATAGGTGGTGATTCCTGATGATTTCATCCAGTGAAATTGCAAGCTGCTGCCTCCCCATGTGGCCAGTGGAAAACAATTCAGCAGGGAGCTGCTCTGGTGCCTCAGCAGATTTAAAAATCAGCCCAAAGCATCCATGAAACAAGTCAAACATTTCCACCTAAAGTTCTCCAAGTGAGTTGGGCTGAAGAAGGTTTTGGGGAAGGAAATCTCTGAAGATTTTGCAGACTCATACAGTGTTGCTTGAGCAGTGTGACAGGTACTACAAAAACCAAGGGGGGGTAAAATCCTCATCTTCACTGCTTGTCCCATGCTGTCCCTGGGATTAGGAGGTCAGTTAGGTCTGCCAGAGCTTTGCCTCAGTTTCCAAAGACAGACAAGGAGGTATTTTAAGCCTGTGTAAGCTTGACTGTGACTACAGCCAGAGGCCTGAGCAGGTACTGAGGCCCCAGGGAAGTCAGCATCATCACATTCATATTCTGTTTTCTTCCTTGCTAATGGCATTTCCTCTTGACTTAGCTTTGTGAACACTTTTTCACAGCAAAAAGAACAACTGACTTAGACTCCAAATCATACTTTCTGTGAATACATGTAAAAATGTTTATCAATACATTCCCTATTTTAGTAAAATTGTGTTGGTTAGGGTTTAACAATGTATTTCTGTACGCAGGCCTCTGACTCCCTCCCATTTCTTCCCCCCTTCCTAATTCCCTTCCAATTAAGTGGCTGCTACTTCTCAAATAATCAATGTCAGTTAAAAACGTGTCACAGTGTGGTCATTGTATGACTTCTATTCAAAACTCATGTCATTTAGACTTTCATTGGCAGCTATTTTGTCCCAGAAAAAAGTTCAAGACAGCAATTTGTGAATCTTGCTCAGCCAAGTAGAACTGTGGAAAAGAGGAGTCATTCCAAAAGTCAATTAATTGTGGCCTGTCAGAGTTCTCCTCGTTCAGTTTTCTCCAGGCCTTGCCATGGGCTCACATCTGTCAGCCCCGTGTTGCCCAGGCTGCAGCCAGATGCCATTACATGGGAAATAATGGGTTTATTCACACCATTTATTGGGTTCTGGGTGGTAGGCACATTTGTATATCATTTCACGGTGTAGCAATTCCATTTACATAAAATACAGGCAATTGTGTGAGTCTGGCTAAAGCACTAAGGGAGGGTGGGAGGAGCCACCCTCCCTTAGTGCTTTAGCCAGACTAAGCCAATCAAATAATAAAGGCTAATTGTAAAGAGGCAGATAATTTAGGTGAAAATACCATCATGAGCAATTCTTGATCCTAAATTAGTTCAACAGAACTTGAAGGAGGCAACGTAGTTTGCATTTTGTTTGTGCTTGTATTAAACTCCTTAATGTTTTTTCAATGTCAGAAAAAAGCATGTACTTTTTACAGCACCTACATTCCATTTTAAAAATCAAGTAATTCTTGATGAAGAAAGGGCTTTTTTTGCTTTAGAGGTAGTTTTTTTCCTCCCAGGTTAGAGGAAGTTTTCACATTTGCCTTTAAAGGAAGAGAAATCAAGCAGAGATTGGGGAGGGGATAAAAATATCTAGAGAAAAAGCACATAACATTTACACAGAGCAAGAGATGTTAGAGAGACTTTTCTAATCCTGAGCACAGGCTGCTTCTAACCTTCCCCAAAATACTGTCTTTCCAAAATCCAGAGTTATTTTATGAGGCAAAGAAAATGTGATGAAAAAGAAGTTATTGTGAGTTAAAAGTCACTTTACAGGGCTCACAGAGCCATTATCTTCAGGAAATCCTCCAGGTCCAGTTTGGGTGGAATTGTTAACTTTAGTCCTTTAACTCTTGGTTTTAACTCCAGATTCAGAATCCAAAGATTGGGCTGAAATTTTTCAGGTCTCAGCAGGAGTGTCTCTCATGTCAGTTGAGCTCAGCCTCGCAGGAGTTGGCTCCCCTTGCTCTGGCAGCCTGGTAAACCAGCATGAAATCCTTAAACCGAGGGGCACAGCCCAGCCAGGCTTCCCCAAAGTGTTCATTCCCAGTGAAGAGGAAATCTCCCCCTCCCTTCTTCACCTTGCACTGAAGAAGGGTTCGGATGGGGCCTCGCCACTCCCCACTCCCTTCCTCCTGCTGGAAAATCCGGTTTTTCTGCCTGTAGACCTTCTGGACTCTGACATCAACCTGGGACATGTGGTTCTCCGAGTCGTGGGAGACACTTTCACCACTGGATGTGAAGAAGACAGGAGGTGGTTATGGAGCAGCAGGAGAACAGTGGGCACTGAAGCAGGACACGAGGCGGGCCCGAGCCCCTCCGCCTCGCTTGCCACAGGTGCAGCTGCCCGGCGAGCTCCACGGAGATGCTGGCGCCCTGGAAGTGGCTGGCGGGTTTGATGCAGACTGTGCAGCACTGGGCGCTGGCCAGGCTGGGCTCCAGGACCCAGCACAGGGCTCGTGCTGGGTACATCCACTCCAGGGAGCCCTCGGTGCAGCGCAGGAGCACCTGCTCCACGGCACGGGAACGGGGCTCCCAGCCCAGACCACTGCAGGAAACACCAGGCACCTGTCCGTGACCGGGGGAGGAAGGGAGAAGAGAAGAGAAGAGAAGAGAAGAGAAGAGAAGAGAAGAGAAGAGAAGAGAAGAGAAGAGAAGAGAAGAGAAGAGAAGAGAAGAGAAGAGCCACTGCACCACCTGCATACACAGATCTTATTCCTAACTCTCCTAATGACCCTTAAATTGGCTTCCTCTGGCTGGACTGGGCTCCTTCCCTCCCACCCCTGAATCTGAACTGCAGGAGCCACAGAGGACAGGGAATGCTCACAGCTTGGGTGCACGGGAAGGAGCCTCAGTCCCTTTCACCAAATCCGTGCTTCAGTGTCTGCAGCACCCAGAGAAATGTCAGAGGGCAGCTTCTCAGTGCTAAATAGCTCTAAACTTTTCCTTGTATTATGACTGGCCACTGCTTAGCTGTCCAGAAAATCCCACCTGCAAGTGCATGGATGGGGATGAGAGCCACTGACTCGCAGCAGGAGCTGCACAGCAATGCTATGCCTGAAAAATTTGGTCTAAAGATCTACTTTATAAAATGATTTTTAATATTTCCAATATAAACTCATCAAGAAAATGTTTTTATAAAAAGGGTGGTGCTGGCCCTGCTCCCGAGCTCTCGCTCAAGCCTGTGCAACTCCACTGCTTGCAGAACAGTTACTTTTACTGAGGTCACTTATGGAAGTCAAATCCGCGCCAGCATAATTAGTTAAAAGAAAAGTAAAAAGGCAACAAAACAGCGGGAAAGGACATAATATTTGACAACACTGAGAACACTTGTGGCCTATTTCCCTGCCGGTGACTGCAGTAAACCCAGCAGCACAGGGCACCGCACCCAGCGCCCTCCGCAGCGGTGCCCGCAGCCCCCCGGGCCCGGCCGTGCGCACCCACCTGCCCAGGGCCGGCAGCAGCGGCAGGGCCGGCAGCAGGACCGGCAGCAGGGCCGGCAGCAGCAGGGGCGGCAGCAGCGGCAGCGGCTGCAGGGCCGGCAGCAGCAGGGCCGGCAGCAGCAGGGCCAGCGGCAAGGCCGGCAGCGGCAAGGCCGGCAGCAGGGCCGGCAGGCCGGGCCAGCCCCTCAGCGCGGCCATGGGCCGGCGGCTCGGCCGGGCGCGGGCCGGGCTTTAAGGGCGGCGGGAGGGAAGGGGGGCTGCGGGTCCGGGGGCGGCGGCCGCGCCTGGCAGCGACCCCTTCCCCCTTCCCCCTTCCCCCAGCACCGGGGACAGCAGGGACACCCCGCCGTCCTCCTTCCCTCTTCGCTCCGCCGTCCCCATCGCCCGGGCCGGACAGCCCCCTTTTGTCTCTGAAATAGTTAGAAGTGATTAATAACAGTTTCTCATCGCGCTGTAGGAACACACAAAAATCGTGTCAACATAATCAAAGCGAATTTTGAATGAATGATGGAAATTCAATAGTTTTAACTTCTGCTTTCATGATTATCTTTCAGGGGTCCGTGCACAAGAAAGCTCCGGGGCCCCACGATTATCATGCTAAAAGCCGGGCTGTGCCTGCCAGTAATTAGATTTCTATATGCATTGCCCTTTCCATATTTTCAATGAACGACATGGGGAGATGCTCTTTTGCAGGTCTGGGAGAGCGAGGCTCCTTTCTGCAGCTCTGAAGCGTGGAATCGGGATTTGGCGGCCGGGCGGGGACAGTGGCAGGCCCCGCAGCCGCAGGCCTTGCTCCGCGGGCCCGGCCCTCCGGCCATCTGCTACCTTGCGGTTACCGGCGTGTTCTCACATTGCCCACAGATGCCAGGCAGAGTCTGCCTGCAGCCCTTCTGCAAGGAGGGATTTTCCCGAAGGGGAAAATAAATTTGTTACAGGAGATACCCTGAAATCAGAGCTTTAGTCCTCAAGTGTCTGATACCAGACTCCTTGAATCCTATTTCGACCCACTTTACCGTTCATTCACAAAAACTTTGTATTTTTACTGTTATGATTAAAAAAAGAAACAGAATCTCACCCTTGACTTGCACTTTGCTAATGTCCTGTGCTCTTCCTCACACATACCTGCGCTGTGACTCCTTGCACAACTTTTGGCTAAAGTCTGGCTCAAGTGGGTGCTCTGCAGGGCTCACTCCAGCAATTCTAAAAACATTCAGAGATGCATTAAACCTTGCTGGTTATCAGCATTAGTGCCAGTGATCCTGAGAGCTCTGTGAAACCATTGTCTTACCCATCTAAGAGAAAACTTGCTGAATATCTATGCTCTGACCCGATCCTGAATGGAAAACAACACACAAATAGACTTTAAATGGTTTGATTGTGGCATAATACAGGAGCTGAGAGGCCAGAGCCCTTCTCTCTTTTGTGCAAACGAGACCAGGGAACAGAGGAGAGGACTCGGGGAGGGAAGTGACACTATGACAAAGTGGCCCCACAGGAGGATTTATTCGAAAAGCCCAAACGAACCTATCTGCCATCAGGGGAAAGCACTGAGCCATCCATCCATGAAGGTCTCCCGCAGCAGCGTTTCCCCCCACCGGGGAGAGCCCCGTGGGAGTTTTGCTGACTTGCTCTCAGCAGCACCTCCGGCCCATCTCCAGTTTCTACTGACACCAAAACATCTCCTGTTAAACCTCTTACTTGAAACTACTCATCACAGGTAAGGCATTTGTAGGGCTCCTTCCCCTCTTCGAGTAAATAATGTGCAGCAGCAGAAGCTGCTTTAAGATCCCCAAGTGACAACAGAGGTGAGAAGGAGCAATATGGACTTTTCACATTACTGTTGAAGCCTGGGAATTCAAACCACTTCAACCACACCTACTGAAAAGCCACACAACCTCAGCTCCCCCCCGGGCTGGAGCAGAATGAGCCAGGAGCAGGCAAACAGCTGCTGAGAGATCTTTGCAGGATACCAGTGGTAGTTTTACCTCCAGAGACATTACTGTGCTGTCTAGAATTTTTCCCATGTGTTGAGGTTTGAGATGCTCAAATTTTGCAGCAGGAATTTCGGGCAGTAGCACGGCCACAGAGTTAAACAAAATACAACTTTGTTCTCAGAAATAAGCCTAAGCTCATGCGGCTGCAGCCCTCCCAGAGCCAGGCAGTCATCCTCATCCTGGGGCTGCTGCAGAGTTGAAGACTCACATTTGTTTTTATGCATAGCCAGGAAAAGGAAAAGCTGAGTTTAAATACTTTAATCCACGTCCTTAAATCTACAGAGAAATACAGTACAAATAACAAGACAAACAGATGCATTAGGAAAATCAGTAACAGAGCCAGTGCTGTGAAAAATCTGTATTTACAAATTTTTATGAAGAACATGGAGCAGATGTTTCTCCACAGAGAAATTTAGGGAGTGTAAGTCACAGAGAGAGGCCATGGTACAACCAAGTGAAGTTTTCAGTTTCCCCCATAATGTGCAGAACCCACAGAACGGGGCAGCTCTGTGGCTCCACTGAAGCTGCAGCTTCTCAGGCTGAAGCTGGCCCAAACCACACATTGTGCCCATCTAACCACTGCACCAACCATCACAAATTTGTATGAGACAAAAGCACACTCACTGCCTCTGCAGCAAGTAAAACCAGACGTCTCTGCTTTTATAACAATGGCTTTTAAGGGATTATTACCTCCTTACCCTTCCATTTCAGCCTGCCCTCTCTTCAAAACCAAAGGAAAACCAGTTTGAGGTTTGAAAACATGGCTTGATGCCAAGGAAAAAACTGCCAATTTTGATGTAAACATTTATTCTGGAGGTCCAAGATCATGCTAACTGGTTCTTTCATGGCAAGCAAGCCTCACCCCCTGTACAGCTGCAAGCCCTGGGGTTGCTCTGGGGTTCTGAGGGGCAGGAATGGTGCAGTGTCTGCTCCCATCTGGGCACTAAATACAGATCTCCAACTACACCATAAGGAAACAACTGATCTGCCAAAAGTCCACGGATCACTCCTCACTGCTCTGTGGGAAATAAAAAAATACTGAATCCCAAATGTCACCTTTCTCAATTGAAAACTGCCTAAAATGTTATGAATTCTATTTTTTGAGCTATTTCTTGCACTTTAGGCTCATATTTTCCTTGTTTAGTGCCACTTTATAACATATAGACAAACACTCAATATAAATCCCATGTGGCAGCATCACAGCATTTGTAGCTAAAGAATATATTTTTTAAACTGTTAACATGCTGACATTTCCTTGTAAGCAGCAATTACTAATTAAAAGTTACAGCTCTTAAAAGCAACATTTTACAGTATTCTGATCACTACTTACTAAACAATTACTATACATACTGAAGTTACAAGCTACAAAAATAAAAATCCATTCTGTTTAACTACAAAAATCCTAGAAAGAGAGGATGGCTGGAGGTACTCAAAGGATTACAGCAGTTTGTAGCAGACAAAATGGCTTTTGAGGGATGTACACCCTGAAGGTACAGAATGCAATAAACTCATATACAATGTAAGTTCCTACATAATCTTAAAAAGAAAACTATTTTTATGCTGAAATCTACAAACAAGTTGCAAATTAAACAATGCAAAGAATTAATTACATACAGCAGTAGGGGGACACAGCACAGGACACAGGGCAGTATTAAAAAGTACAGTTTTGAGCACATTCATACTTTTGAACAGTTAAGGGCCAGATCATCAGCTAAGGTCAGTCTGCACAACACAACCAGGTTTAGTCAAGGCATGTGGCTTTATTCCAGCTTGAAGTATCTCCCTGAGATGCCCAAAGCCTGAATTGGGTATTCAGCACTCTTAGATGATAAATCATGATCATGTCGTGCTTGAGAACTGTGGCCTCAACACTGCTGAAATAAAGAATATGTAAATTCTCTCAATGTTCTTAATTAGCACAGGAAGAAGTGGTTTCTGCTGCCTGTGTTCAAGAAGCACCTCTCATTTCTCAGAAGAAACCAGCATTTTTAATTAAGTGGTTGACATTCAAAAGAATCAGTTACGTCCTAGCATTTTTGAAGACAGTCTAATTTAATTCCAATTGAAAACTGATTTTTTTTTTATTTTCCAAAACAAGGAAAACTGCTAGCAGTCAGTACAGTTAGAACACATGTAGATTTTTAAGTGTCCTGCTCTTCCCCAGAGACTAACTGGGTTACAGTGTTGCTCTACCAAAAGCATTTGCTGCCAAGTAAAAACCAGAACTACTCTAACATTGATGCCATTGTGCTGATCACAGCTAAAGGTGCAAAGCCTTTTATTTAACTAGTGAGATACAGTAACACACACTGTAAAAGCTTCAGTGCAATGCAGCACAGAACCAGAAGGAATTGGCCAGACTGAAACCAAACCCTTCAAGGATCAGTTTTCAGAAACTGGAGAAAAGGGATGTTCCTCCCCAGCAGCAATGAGAACAAAGATTGTACTTTCAATACAGGCCAGGGGTATTGGGGAACCTTTAGTGGTGATGGTGACTGGAAAAGCCAACCAGGTGGGTCACTGGGCCAAGAACAGCTGTGTGAAGCCATTCCAATTTCCTTGTCTGACAAAGCCTTTGACAGGAGGTTCTGTGCATAAAAATACCCAGCACATCCTCTCAACGTGAGTGAAGAAGTACAATGTGAGCCAGGCAAGGAGCTGACCCACAGAAAGGCTCTCCAGGAAGATTTATGCTTTTTGTATTGCCTGCCACAGGACTGAGAAGCGACATTAAAGAAAGTTATCAGAAACTGACCAAACTTGCTACTGGATGCAGCAATACAACTTAAACTCCATGAACTCACTTCAAACTGCTTGACAATCAGTGTTATTGTACATTTTACACAAAGCTATAAAATACAGACTGGCAGAAGAAACAGTTTGTTATTTGGCTTTTTAAAATATTGTTTTTTCTATTCTTCCGACGTTTATGATTAACGGGAGAAGGGAAAACTCTCCATGCACGACAGGAGCTCCAGCTGCAGAGTTCCCTCTCCCAGACAGAGAACATGCTGTGGGGATTCCCAGGGTCCCAGCCTACAAGGAGTAACTCCGTGGACGGAGGAGCTGTTTGAAATGGGTCTCTGTGCACCTACAACGCTCAGAAAGCAGGGAGCAGTTCACAGTCACCACGCACACCACAGCTCTGGGCAGCTCCAGCTCTGTTACAAATCAGCCAAGCCCACTGATTGATTGCTGCCAGAC